ACCTGCAAATGAATCATCTAATGATTCATTTTGTTTGTTTGCGAAAAAAATATATAGAAAAAAAAAACTTATTACCTTCCTACAAAAAATTTCCTTCTTATTTGATCTTGACTATATATATATATATATATATATATATATATATATATATATATATATCTTTACTATCTTATAAAACAAATCTCACTATTTCTAAAAATAGATTGAATAAAATAATAATATTTTTTAAGACGTCCAAATCATTAAGCTAATTGTACAACTAATCACTAATAAAATAATACTAAAATTTAAACAAACTCCTATAAATCTTCTCTTCCAATATTTTGACCATATCTTTTTTCATCAAAATAAATACTCAACACCCTATAATTTGGTCATTTCACGAATTTCTTTATTTTTAATATGACATTTTTCATAAAACAAACTAATGTTTGAATTAAAAGTAATTATTCTCTATCGAAAAGAAATTAATTGTCGAAACAAACTATTTTTCGCCCGCCGCTTTGCGCCGGTAAACGGCTAGTATGTTTATATATATATATATATATATATATATATATATATATATATATATATATATATATATATATATATATATATCCGTCTACCCGCGCAAAGCGGCGGACAGCAAATAATTTGATCTCTTTAAAGTTAAAACCATTTTGCGTTCACTTTGAGAAATGAGAATATTAAATGACATCTATTTTTCAAGAGCATTATCATACCATATTAAACGGTGTTTGGCAAAGTTTTTTTAAAACAACTTATTAGGTTCCACATCCCTATAAGTTAAAAAAATGTTTGGATTAAAATAACTTATTTCGGTGAGAAACCTTTAATACGTCATTTTTTCATAAATTACCCTACACTTATTTATTAACTTATAAGCTAATAAACTAATAAGCAATAAGCTTTTTTTTTTTGCCAAACACCCCCTAAATGGTTATTACTTTCATTTATACATACCAAAACCACTTGTACTGTTTTTCGTCATCTTTTTTTTTTTTTTTTTTTCGTTTCCTTAATTCATTTATTAATTTAATGTTATACTAAGTAAAATGCTAAAATATATAAATAATAGTTTATAAAAATAAACCTTTAGAATATCATTTGTTGTGATTCAAAAGTCGATAAATAAGCCTTTGAGAAGGCCAAAATACTCAGGTGTCAACTTGGTCATTGAGATTTTAAACCAAGTTTGGTCACAAATTAAAACACTTTCAACGATGGTATGTAATTCAAGGATTCATATTGATTTAGGATCTCGAACCCTTAAAATATTGAACAAAATCTATATAAAACCTTATAATAAGGACAATAATCACCGTAATCAGGAAGTCCATGTGATTAAACTTGATATTATAAGGACTAATGATGAAAAAGGTTTCATTTTTAGACTAAACAAGATGAAAAATATACAAAATACCTTAATCATGTCAAATCTTGTGTTTAACCGTTCTTTATTGCAAAAGTAAGATGCAAAAATATACAAACTAATGATAATACAATGCTCTAACTGACCCTCTTGGTTGAGTTCTTTAAACCTGCAAAGCCAACACATTAAAGAAACATAGTAAAAACCTTTTTAGGAACAAACCTGATATAATAAAACCTTCACCCAATATATTTATAAGATAAAAATACAAAAAGTTAAAAATGATGAAATCAATTACAAGGATTAAAATAAAAACCTATTAAGAAATAGCCATCTGCAGGAGGGATATTTGAATCAACATGTATTTTCTGATGGTTTCAAATTTTAAATTATCCGAAATTCAGGGAAGGAGATAGAATTTGTTGAGAAATATAAGGATTCAAAACACATGTTAAAATTTAATATTATTTTATTGATGACTACTTGTAGTATTAGCTTAATGATTTGAACGTCTTAAAAAAATAATATTATTAAATTCAATCTATTTTTAGAAATACTGGGATTTCTTTTATAAGATAGTAAAGATATATATATATATATATATATATATATATATATATATATATATATATATATATATATATATATATATATATATATATATATATATAGACACACACAATACAAAATATACTTGATATCTCACAAAGTGTACAAATACATACATAGCTCTCCAAATCAACAACATACAAATCACACTTATTCCTCAATTCAAACACAATAAGGCAACTTGGGGCAACTTGTAACGACCCAAAATTTAAGACCAAAAATTTCTTTTAATAAATCATTACTTAAAATATAATCATCATTCCAAAACATAATATGAGTATAAGTTTTCAAAACACATGTTCATTATCAGAGTAAACATTCCCAGGCTGTCTAATCTATGGTGTGTGTCATGCGATCACCCTGAGCTCTTCCCTCCGCTATCGGAAGTACCTGAAACCAAAATTGAAAACCGTAAGCACGAAGCTTAGTGAGTTCCCCACCCTACCACATACCATGCATAACCACATACTGCACATACTGGGCCACGCCCGCTACCTTGGGCCTCGCCTGCTACAACGACCCCGCCTCTCCAGGCCCCGCCTGGCTTCGAGCCCCGCTCGGATACAGATATGTTCTACTTAGGTCCCGCCTGTTACAGGGCCTCGCCCGCCAACAATTAATATCACATAAACATATCACAACACATAACTAAACACATACAACTGGTTCTGTCCTAAGGCCTCGCCCATGTACTGCTACTGATGAGTCATGGAACCCCATCCACGCTCCTAGTGGTAGTGAGACACGGGCCCAACCCACCCTCACTCCTTCCCTAACTTGGGCCTCGCCCCTGTTATGCGACTATTGAGATGTGGAACCCCATCCACACTCTACTATTGGTGAGATACGGGACCTCGCCCACACTCACCTCCCTACCAGGCACATACATGTATCACACAGACAACAAGTATAAACTATCATATAAACAATCCTTGGGCACCCTCCCGCTATTACTGGACCTCGTCCTGAAAATCATACTAGCATACTGTGCCTAGGGCTAACCCCCGGGTCTTCTACTCGTAACTACATGGGCCGACATTGTGGCCTTAGACCCATTCACACAAAGGGAGACTCACCTGCACTGGCTAAACTTGCTGAGATCTCACTAGCTGCTGCCCGAAAACTCACTGGACTCCTGCTCCCCTTGCTCCCCGAACTACCAATAACAATGCAACACTGAGTCTAACTGAACCCCGAAAGACAACCAAGTCAACCCTGGTCAAGGTCAAAGTCCTGGTCAAAGTTAACCTTCTAGGTCAACCCTACTCGCCGAGTCACCCTACTGACTCGCCGAGTTCAAAATGATCAGATTCCTTCCATTCGCGACTCGACTCGCCGAGTCAGTCCATGACTCGCCGAGTCAGTCCATGACTCGCCGAGTCTACCGATTTCTGAGTCCTGACCTGTCCAACTCACTGAGTCTCCACCCGACTCACTGATTCGAGTCTCAACTCGAAGGGTTTGGGGTTTCGCGACCTGACTCGCCGAGTCCAAGAACAGACTCGCCGAGTACAAGGCAATCTTCATACGACTCGATGAGTTGTTCATCCCACTTGTCGAGTTTCTCCACAACTTCATGCTACTTGTCGAGTCCACTCAAAGGACTCGCCGAGTCCCATCAGTTCTCCTTACATGCAGAGGACTTTTGAGTCATGCATGGACTCCAAACTGTAGATCTACCCTTCCCAAGCCTATTCCTCACATAAAGTTGCAAACTTTATGTGTAGAGAAGGAGATCTAGGCAAAATATGCCATAAACTATGGTTTAAGGCCAAGGGGCTTCAAAATCGACTCAAGGGCTGATACTTTTTGCTTCTCCAGGCCATAACACACTTGGATTTGAAGTAGCAACTCCAGATCCGGCTTCTAACCCATAAGGGTGGCTAACCATGGCTTAAAAAGCTCAAAACTCACAACCAATATAGATCTAATGGAAGGAAATGACTTAATACCTTCAATACCTCAGAAAGACTCCACAAACTCCAGATTTGAAACCAATCCTTGAAGCTTCACTGGTTCCCTTCCCTCTTCTTCCTTCAAATCACCCAAAAATGGCTTGGAAGCTTGGATGCACAACAATGGAGGCTTAGGCTTCGTTTTCTGAATGAGGGATGCTCTAAGGAATCCTAATGGAGAGAATAAGAAGCTTAAATAGCGTCCAAAGTCCCGGATTTAGGGTTTTCCTCGCACAGACCAGACTCGCCGAGTCCACTTGGCCGACTCGCCGAGTTGGCCACTTACACCTTGACCCGGATCCCGCTCGGACTCGCCGAGTCCCTCCTTGGACTCGCCGAGTCGACCCTTAAAATTAGGGCTTTCTTTCCTTTCTTGGCCTTTAAAACTTTGGGTGTTACACAACTTGTCGATTCATGTAAAGAATTTAGTAATTAACATTAGTTTGATAAATTTTCAATTAATATGGTGATTCATACCTTTCACCAACAGTTGGTTTCATCTTATTTCATTTGACACTTTGGATCGTGTGTGTTGTATTCTACCCCACTCCCATCTTCATCTTATTTCATCTGATAGTTGGATCGTGTGTGGTGTATTATACTCCACTCCTATCTCCTTCATCAGGCTTTACACCATCGGGATATATTCGTTGCATCTATTAGAACATCCTCCAAATTTTCATTCTCATACTTATTGTAAATATAAGTCCTAATTTCTTGGGATGATTCCTCCACTAGATAATTGTTACAATGTAAAAAATCAAAGAAATGTAACTAATTTTTACTGCATAAAATAGCAAAGACAGGGTTGAAGGGTTGAAATCCGTTTACGATTTACCCACCTTTGGTTGAAAGGTGGTGAGAAACCAGACGTATTTCCCAAAATCGAATATCATTGCAATTTTTTTTGGGCTATTTTGTTACAAACAAAAAGAATCATAGCTAAATCGTAAATAAAATTGGAATGTAGGAATTTAACAAAGATTTCCCGATGTAAAAGGGCTACTAAACGTAATAAAACAAAAAGGGTGTTTATGAATGAACAAGAGTAAAAACCAAAGGGTGCTTCTTGGAAACGCTATAATCTCGATCATCTTCAACCTCCACGATCGATCCTCTTTTTGTTTCTTGTTCCCTTTTCGTTAAATTCCTCACTAAGGTTTTTGTGAACAAGTTGAATTAATTACCTTGGAGAAGAAATCAGCATCAGATTACAGAATAAGACCATAAATTCAGTTAGATCTATTGAACGTCTACGTAGAAGAGGAATTTTGTCGAACAATTTCAGTTTTTTCGATGGTTTCGCTACATAAGCGATGATCCGCAATCGGAAGGGCGGATTCTCATCAACCAAGTTTCGGCGAATTAGGTATTTCGATGGATATCTTTGACAAATAAAAACATAATTTCTTTATTTGCTATTTTGTTTGCCCATGTTAACCGGAAGCTAACATGAGAGCACATAGCTAATCATCAATTTTCCGAAAGTAATACATGCCAACATTGTCTGCTAGTGTTTCATTTGTATTCTATGCGACTTAAGTAACAAAAGTTATAAAGTCAGCGAAAGGATGTTAATGCTGAATGTGTCTGTGTATATGTATTTCTCAATATTGTCGACAGTTGATAGTATGTTGCTCCTTTGCAAAGTAAGCTAACTACCTTGATTGACGTATTACATATATCTGACAGCATTCAACCAACTATATATAGAAGATGATTAGATACAGTGAAAGCAAAAGTAATGTTGAGATTGTGTGTCCAACAAGTTTATTCCATGATTCATGACATTATTTAGCTTCTCAGATTAAATTATGAACTAGAATTAATACATAAATAGCATAACTGAGAGTGAAAAACTAATGTTACATTCCAAGAAAAACAAAGGAATGCTTAAGTTTTGTGTGGATTATAATTGCTGTTAGACCAGTTATTTGAAGATTTTCTGTTGTATCATATGTTGTTTGCAAGAAAACCTGATCACTTATGTTGAATTAAAGGAGTTATTTTGTTTTTGTTTTAATGTGGATTGTATTGTTTTGAAGTTTGATGGGTATAAGTCTTGATTGTGTATGAATATTGGCGGTGGAAGAATGAACATTGTAAGAGGTGTTGCGGGTCTTATTCGAAGGACATCTGGCTATGGTGGTGACTATAGTGTAGGGTCAGCATCTCATAAGTTCCCTGTTCCATCTCCAAAAGTTAAATTCAGGTACTTTTTTGCTGATTTCAAGACAGTGATTAGGTATTATCATATAGTAAACAACTGTTACATTTGTAGCATTTCTGTTGTCTACCTTACTGTTATGAACTGGATTCTAAGACCAGATTCAATAGCATAAAACAATCAAGGATTCTAATATTGTTTGAAAAACACTCGATAATACCAAATGATTACAAGAATGAAGATAGTTTAGCTGATTCGAGATAGCCAATCTCCCAGGAATAAATTCCAAATTTCACAAAAAGATTGATATCCCACTCCCTGCCCACTACCCTCTTCTTATACTATCTGTCATAACAAATTAAAAATATAAAATGCCTAAAATCCCCCTGCACTAATAAGATTATCTTTATTTAATGATTTTCCCATATTGCCCTTATCTAACATATGGGACCGAAGTTGATGCATAACACTTACGTGTAAAGGATGGGATTAATGATTTGTAATTTGCATATTCAGAAGTTTTACATATAGTAAACAACTGATACATTTGTGGAGCATTGTTTCTTCTTTGGATTGTCCTAAATAGAGTTGTTTTTTTTTCATCTATAAACAAAATAATATATGTTCTTGTGTAAAAATGCAGTCTAGTTTGCTTGTTTTTTTTTCTTCTTCTTATAATTCTTGAGTACATGCAGAGTTTTTAAGACTTCTAGTTTTGTATTCTTTTCAGTGATATTGGTGATGAGGCAATATTATCTGCACTATGGGAGAGATATCAAAGTGTCTCTGAAAAGGTATTGCGATATCACTGCATAAACTATTTATCGATTAAAATTGAACTTTATCACATTACCTAACAGTGACTTGTCTTAATTTGCAGGCAGAAATACAAAAGGCTTTTCATATATTTCTTAAACAATTTTTTGTAATATACAAGAATTGGGAGCCATTAGATTTAGATAATTCCACAGAGACTGCTTTGGGTGTCTCATCTGGGGAGGAGTCTGAAAGTCCTGATGAAGTTATCATTGGCTGTTCTACTGCACATCCTGCTGAAATCATAGTGATCTTAATAGAAGAAGTTACAAATATAACAGCTATGGTCACTGAATGTAAGTTAACCTATTTTTCATCTTTTTAATCTTCATTGGCTTATATTCTTATGAGTAAAAATATAACAACCCATATGAAACCAGTCATCTGTGGAACTAGTTTATGCTTAATCAAGTCCTTTGCTCTAACATAAATATATGTGTTGTTTTTGGTACTCATTTAAGTTTATGATGAATTCTCACCACCAAGTGCTTTATATTTCCTGCATGAGATTATGTCAATAAACATAAATGATTTGCCTTTATTGACAGGCATATCAGGGTCTTCAAGTAGCTTGGTTATTACACCTGAAGGTTTTCGTGTCTTAAAATGTTTGACTATCATGACCCGGTCAATGCATAACTGTAAAGTTTTGGGGTATTATGGTGGTATTCAAAAGCTGACAGCACTAATGAAAGGTATATATTTTTTGCTTTTTTGTCTGACATTGTTTATGACATGTTTTGGTTGTTGAATTAAGAACCTAATGAATAGTGTCTTTGATTCAATCTACAGCAGCTAATATTCTTTTTTAGCCATTAGCTTTTTGACTAAGTTATTGTTTAGTTTTCAATGTTCTTATATGGTCTGGGACTATTCCCCAATCCCCTAGAAGCTTATTCAGTGTTCTTGAGGTATCACTAGGGTTGTCCAATCGAATCTTGATGACATTATTATCACTTAAAATGATATTTTTCGGGGTTTCAGAGTTCAAGCACTTTCTATAGAAAACACAGATATGTTTTATTTGCAACTAGTTAGGTAGGCATTATTAACTATCTTTGCTCCCACTTGAGGAGTGTTAGATATAGTATTTAACTATATATAGAACATGGCTACATGAGATCTTTATGTTATTAAATTGAGTTTCCTATTTAGGTTGTATGCTATTTATAAAATGTGGGCCTAACCTCATAATAGAAACAAAACCTGAAAACATTTACTAGATCTGATTACTACGTGTGACAGCCAAAAGAGGGGAACTTGCATTTCTGTATCTGGAGTAGACAATGCAAGCTTGTATATGTCATTGTGTTCTTGTATTTACAGCTTCTATGTGGTGATCTTGCATCAAACTATATTCTTTTCTAGCAGTTAACATTGCAATGTTTGTTTCAGCTGCTGTTGTCCAATTGAAAACCATTGCTGGCGCGCTTTCAGCTGATGAAACTTTATCGAGTTCTAATGTACAGAAGGCTGGTGTTTTACAAAAAGTACTTGTACATGTGGTTTCGATTTTATGCGGGTTTATCAATTTACAGCTAGATATATATGGAAAAGCTCAGATAGACGTTGACAACTTGGAGGATAGTATTGAAAAGATGGCCACAACTCCAGAACCTTTCATTGATTCAAGGGATCCTCTTTCTGAAACAAGATTGCAGTGGCATCAGAAGGCAGTCATATCAGTGATGGAAGCTGGTGGTCTTAATTGGTTAGTAGGTAAGGTATGCATCTTCAGATTTACTTTCTGTTGAGAACTGAACACATTTGAATATCTGAGATAAATAAAAATGGTCACTTTCATTCTTTCCTAGATTTAATGCTTTCCATGAATCTTTGTTGCTTGCCCTGTTTGCACTTTTAAATTAGGCTTTTTGTATGAACGGAGCTAATCTTTTTAATGGTGTTTTCAGAGCTGTTGCGGGTGATTAGACGATTAAGTTTAAAAGAACAATGGACAGATTCGTCTCTTCAGTATATGACTTTAAGGACTCTTCAGTTGGCATTGACTGATAACCCACGTGGTCAAAACCATTTTCGGAGCATTGGGGGCCTTGAGGTGTTGTTGGATGCTTTGGGAGTTCCATCATTTAACTCTTTAAGTTCAAGAAATTCATCTTCTTCTGATCATGGAAGGTAACAAACATATCAATGGTCTTTTGTGTTTTTAGTTGGATATCTTCATTGATAATTTTATGTTTTGTTGACATGGCTTTTTGGTTCGCATGTTTTTTAGTGGAGATGGAAATCGTTTAATGTGGGTTTTGCAGCTCCATGTTCTTTCTTTGGAGGTCCTCAGAGAAGCAGTGTATCCTTTGCCCATTTTTTTTTTTTTTTTTTTTTTCCATTTTAATATCAGTGAAAAATAGAAGTAACTTCATTATACTGTTGATTTGATGCACTTAACCATGTTAAAGTTTTGGCAACTTGAACAATTTGCAATTTCTCTGTGAAAATGGAAGAGTGCACAAATTTGCAAATAGCTTTTGTTTGCCAGCATTTGTGTTTCAAGAATTCATGCAACAAAGAAGCAGCTCATTGGTGGAGGATGATTCGAAAGCCAATATTCAGAGTACAGGAATAACAGAAACTTCTTCGTCTGTGAATAAACCTAGTTGTCAATATTGGAGTAATTATACTGTTAATTTGAGCAAAACCCTCTATTCCTTTATTATCCCATTAGAGGATTTAAGATCACATCAAGTGCAATCGGGTCGTAGTACTTTTCCATTTTCCTCTGTCTATGGGGAACTTTCAATAAAGTTCATGATGAGGGTTCTTCTAACTGTATTTCCAAGCATCAAGGCCTTTTCAAATCAAAACGAGCTTCCTAGCCACTTAAGGTGAATCATTTTCTCACAACTATTCTTTTTCATATTCTTTTCACATTGTGATTTAACTTTTTTCGTCTTCATTTGATTGCAGAATATTTCTGTATTCGCTGCAGCATTATGTGCTATTTGTATTTCGGAAGATTCTAGTTTTATCCCCCTCATCACTGGATGTATTTCGGTCAGAAGGGGTGTGGGATTTTATCTTTTCAGAGCACTTCTATTTTGGAAGTGGTTCAAAAGTAATTCCTGAAGCTTATTTTAACTACAGTGATGATCGCCCATGGAGCACTGAGCCTTTTACTCGTTCAAGATCCACTAACAAACGAGTACCAAGCTATGAAACTGATATCCTTCAAACAAATGTAATTTCTGTTGTGGAATTTGCTGCAACACTGGATGCAACTTCACATAATATGGTAAGTTCCTTCTCTTTTTTCTCCTAACAACTTATTTTATCAGATAAAGGCTCCACATTGGTCTAATTGTTTTTGTTATGGCAGCCTGAATGTTCTGTGCTGTTAGATGCTTTGGAACTGTTTGCTTGTAATCCTGAGGTCACCACTGGTCTAGCAAAGTGTCTACTCCACATTTTGCAGCTTGCACCTGAGAAAACTTTTACTTCTTTTAAGACACTTGATGCAATTCCTCGTGTGGTCAAAGTTACCTGTATTCAAGCTCAAGAGTCCAAAAAACCTGAAAGTGAAAGGAGTAGTTCACAAATTTCAAAGAAATCAAAGTCACCAGAGAATGTTCGTGGTTGGCGGGATAGTATGGAAGCTTGCATGCAGCTTTTTGCAGAGTTCTTTTCGGTTACTGAAGAAGCAAAGTTTTTGGTTTTGAATAGTTCTACATGTATTGATTGTTTGTTTGATCTTTTCTGGGAAGAATGTTTGAGAAGTTCCATGCTTTCTTATATCTTTGCCCTCATGAAGGTATACTTTCTAGTTTCTTCTTCTCTTTATTCTATATACATGTGTGTGTTTGCATATCAATGCATTTTTTTTTTGTATTCGACTCTGGCAGATCATTCCATCTTCTGAAGAAGACCAAAAGGCAAAGTTATACTTATGTTCCAAATACTTGGAAACCTTTACACATCTCAAAGAAAGGGAGAAAAACTTTGCAAAACTATCAATTGATCTACTGGTTGGGATGAGAGACATGCTTGTGAAGGACCGGATGGTATATTTTCTTGATATGTATTTCATAATTTTGTATATGATTATACATTGTGGTGTAGTCACAAGTCAAAACAAGTCTTTACATTTTTTTTTTTCTTTTGTATATTTGCAGTACTTCCAGACTTTGTTCCGTGATGGTGAGTGTTTTCTGCATGTTGTATCTTTATTGCATGGGTATGCTGAAGATGATGAAGGTGAAAAACTGGTTTTAAATGTTCTTCAAACTCTAACCTCTCTGCTTACGGGTAATGATGCCTCCAAGGTACTAGATTCATTTTTTCTTATTTGTTGTGTAGGATTTACTGCTCCTTGCAATTTTGTGTCTTGTTTAATAAGCTTATTTTGGTTTCTTATCAAACATTATTGACACCTGAATTTTTGTGTAGACTGCTTTCCGAGCTCTTGTTGGAAAAGGTTATCGGACACTGCAAAGTTTGCTGTTAGACTTCTGTCACCGAAGACCCAATGCAGGTCTTTTAACCGCTCTACTTGATATGCTTGTTGATGGAAAGTTTGATCTCAAAAAGAATCCTGTTATGAGGGTAACTTTCTCTTTCTGTTTCTGTTTCTGTTTTTCCTCCCTATCAAGTCTTGTATGAGTAATGAGTCTGTCTGTATAACCTTCTGGATGAGACTAAATGACCATTTTACCCTTATTATTATTATTTTTTTCTTTGTGTTTCACGAGCTGATGTTTTTGATGTTTTTGGCATCAGAATGAAGATGTTATCTTGCTTTATCTGAGTGTATTGCAGAAGGTTGGTTAATCATCTTCCACTTTATATCTCTGTTTTGTTTGTTATCTTGGTGTCCTTTAAAGCTAGCAAATTAGCAATGATTCTTTTTGTAGTGAGATTACACATGAATCATTCTGAATCTTTACTGTTCCATCTTAAAATTGGGCAGAGCAGTGACTCGATGCGAAATGAAGGGCTGAACATGTTCCTTCATCTACTGAGAGATTCCATATCAAATAGAGCTTCATGTGTCCGAGTGGGAACACTTAGTTTTCTTCTTGACTGGTTTCCTTGTGAAGATAATGACAGTGTTGTCCTCAAAATTGGGCAGTTAATTCAGGTCACTGGTGGACATAGTGTATCTGGGAAAGAAATTCGCAAAATATTTGCTCTACTTCGAAGTGAGAGAGTGGGGACCCGCCAGCAGTACTGCTCATTATTATTAACCAATATTTCATCTATGCTAAATGAAAAGGGACCCACAGCCTTCTTTAACTTTGATGGAAATGATTCTGTAAGTTTGGTTGCATTTAATTGACTGATGGGTATTTGTTCTGCATACTCAGTTTTTTTTTTTTTTTTTCTTTTTCTTGCAGGGAATAATAATCAACACGCCACTGCAGTTACCTCTTTATAAAGGATATTCTTTTTCTTGTTGGCTTCGTGTAGAAAGCTTTCCTACAAATGGAACAATGGGGCTTTTTAGTTTTCTTTCAGATAGTAGAAGAGGATGCTTGGCTGTCCTTGCAAAGGATAGGCTTATTTTTGAGGTAGAATGATATGTTTTTATAAGAGACTATATATATATATATATATATATATGTATATATATATATTGTTTTCCATCACATTTTAATTGTGTTTTGTTTATTGTTTGCAGTCAAGATATCAGAAGCAACAGTGTGTTTCATTTCCTCTCAATCTTGTTGGTAAAAAATGGCATTTTCTGTGCCTAACTCACAGTATTGGCAGAGCTTTCTCAGGAGGGAGTCTAATAAAATGTTATTTGGATGGAGCTCTTGTTTCATCAGAAAAATGCAGGTCTGAACCATTTGGTTTTAAGAAGAATTTTATGATTTTGTTCTATTACTAACTCTCAGTAAATAAATAATTGCTTGTCTTTTTATTTTTTTATTTTTTATGTTTATTTGTTCAGCTATCCCAAAGTCAATGAACCTTTGACCGGTTGCATGATAGGAGCACCGATTAATTTGCTTTCTTATGAAGAAGATACCACTTCCTCTTCCAGCAAAGAATCATCTCCATTTTTTGGTCAAATCGGTCCAGTTTATCTCTTCAATGATGCCATCACTTCTGAACAAGTGCAGGGAATCAATTTCCTAGGCCCAAACTATATGTACTCTTTTCTTGATAATGACCTTACAGTGTCTGCTGATAACCAACTGCCCAGTGGGGTTCTTGATGCCAAAGATGGTCTGGCTTCCAAGATTATATTTGGACTCAATGCACAGGTTTTCCTTACAACTTTCCCTGATAATATACATGAAAATTTTCTTTTCTCTTACAGTCTGCTGTTAAAAGCTAGTCAATTAAAGAATAGCAAAATTTTCTTTTCTCTTACATTGCTTATGGCCATTAAAGACTTCTTACGTTTGTTCTCATTTTCAGGCTAGCAATCGAAGGGCGTTATTTAACGTTTCTTCTTTGCTGGATCATGCGGTTGACAAGAGTTCATTTGAGGCAACTGTTAAAAATGGGACTCAACTATGTTCTCGCCGATTGTTGCAACAAATTATCTACTGTGCTGGGGGCGTTTCTGTCTTTTTCCCTCTCTTCACCCGCATCGATTTGTACGAGAATGACAGTCAGAATCTGCTGACACCTATAACTAAAGAGCGCATAACTGCTGAAATCATTGAGCTTATTGCCTCTGTTCTAGATGAAAACCTCTCAAATCAACAGCAAATGCTCAATATTTCTGGATTTTCGGTTCTTGGTTTTCTGTTGCAGTCACTCCCTTCCCAACAGCTTAATATGGATACCTTATCGGCTCTCAAACATATGCTAAATGTCATCTCAAATTGTGGTTGGTAACTCTTGAGATTTCGTGGTGTAGTCTTTTTAAAATATTCTCATGGAATAATTGTTTATTTATTAATCGTCATACAGGCTTGGCTGAAGTCCTTGTGGAAGATGCAATATCGCATGTATTTCTCAATCCTTTCATCTGGGTATATGCAGCCTACAACGTGCAAAGAGAACTATACATGTTTCTCATTCAGCAATTCGATAATGATCCAAGGCTTCTAAAATCTTTATGTCGTTTTCCTCGTGTTCTTGATATAATTCACCAGTTTTACTGGGATAAAATGCCTTCTCCCATTGCTGGAAGCAAACCTCTCTTGCAGCCTATAACCAACAAAGATTTTGGGAAGAGGCCCAACAAAGAAGAAATACAAAAAATACGGCTGCTTTTACTGAGTATTGGTGAGATGAGTCTTAAGGAGCATATTGGAGTGTCGGATATTGAATCTCTTGTATCCTTTTTTGAGACAAGTCAAGACATGGCCTGCATTGAGGACATTTTACATATGATTATCCGAGCTCTTTCCCAAAAATCACTGCTTGCATCTTTTCTTGAGCAAGTCACTTTAGTTGGTGGCTGTCGTCTTTTTGTCAATCTGCTTCAAAGGTATGTTTCTCTTGTGTTTAAAACATGGCCAATCCTATTTTGATTTGTTTTATTTATTGTAGGGGCTATGAACCAATCCGATTGCTCGGTTTGCAATTCCTGGGAAGACTTTTGGTTGGTATCCCATCTGAGAAAAAGGAGTCAAAATTCTTTACTTTAGCCATGGGAAGATCAAAGACTCTTCTAGAAGGCCCCAAGAGAATCGAGTTAAGGCTGCCACCCATTTTCTCTGCCATGTCAGACAGGCTGTTCCGATTTCCTCAGACAGATCTTCTTTGTGCAACTTTTTTCGATGTTCTTCTCGGTGGTGCTAGCCCGAAACAGGTGATGTCCCTTGTGGGGATAGTTTTGTCATTCTACTTTTATAAGGCTGTAGTTAACTGAAACACTCTTATGATTTTGCAGGTTATACAGAGACATAATCAGCCTGAGAAGCAAAGAAACAAAGGAACCAACGTGCAGTTCTTCCTACCTCAAATATTGGTTCTCATTTTTAAATTTCTGTCTAACTGTGAGGATGCAAATTCAAGAATAAAAATACTTGAAGATCTGCTTGAATTGCTAGATTCAAATACCTCTAACATTGAGGCACTTATGGTAAGAGGTTCAAAGAGCCTTATTCTTACCACTTTTTTACTGCAAATCTTAAGATAACTCAATTTTTTTTTTTATATAGGAAAATGGATGGCAAGCATGGTTAGTTGCTTCCATGAAGCTTGATGTGTTGAAAACCTACAAAATGAAACCACAACGTGATGGTGACCCTGAATTAGTTGAGCAGAACCATGTGAAGACCCTATTTTCTCTAGTTCTATGTCACTACATACAGTCATCAAAAGGTGGATGGCAACCTCTGGAAGAGACTGTGAATTTTCTCCTGATGCAATATGAACATGTATGCTCTTCCCTTTACTTGTCACACAATCTTTCCAGTTTCATTTTGGATTTATATTTCGAACTTTATACAGGGTGGCAAGTCATATTGGTACCTGCTACGTGATATATATGAGGATTTGATGAAGAGGCTTGTGGACTTATCTTCTAGAGAAAATATCCTCTCCTCACAGCCATGTCGTGACAATACATTGTACCTTCTGAAACTAGTTGATGAGCTGCTGATCTCTGAACTTGATAACAAGCTTCCAGTATGTTCCTTTAATATCTTTTGGTTGGCTTCTTTGACTCTGTAATTTACGTGGTATGTTGGGTTCTCTTATTCTATTGCAGTTTCCAGCATGTGGCTATGATTTCTCTCCTGAACACATTCGGTTGGAAAATGATAGAGATCTTGTTTCTGCTTTGTACGAGGCCCTTCAGGGAGATGGTCATGATCATATCTCAAAGGCTCACAAGCAGTCTGTCTCTAATCAAGTTGAAAAGATGGATGAATCATGGTGGAATCTGTATGACAATTTATGGGTTGTGATTAGTGAAATGCATGGGAAAGGGCCAAGCAGGTTGTTACCAAAATCATCATCATCTGTAGGGCCATCTTTTGGTCAAAGAGCACGTGGTTTGGTCGAGTCACTTAACATTCCTGCTGCAGAAATGGCTGCGGTTGTTGTCTCAGGAGGACTCACAAATGCACTCAGTGGGAAACCAAACAAAGTAATCGATAAAGCCATGCTGCTAAGGTCTGAAAAGTGTTCAAGGATTGCTTTTCGACTTATGATTGTATATCTATGCAAATCTTCTCTTGAAAGAGCTTCAAGATGCGTCCAGCAGTTCATTCCCATACTGCCCTGTATCCTCTCTGCTGATGATGAGCAAAGCAAAAGTCGACTACAAGTTTTTATCTGGTATTTTGCTTTTTCTTTTGAAGTTTCTTTCATAAGTGTAAGTGTTGGTGAATGTGAGATTATAAGCTTTTCTTTTTCTTGAAAGGGCATTGCTTGCTGTTAGATCCCAGTTTGGGATGTTGGATGATGGTGCTCGGTTTCATGTCATTGCTCATTTGATCCGTGAAGCAGTTGACTGTGGGAAGCTGATGTTGGCAACCAGTATTGTTGGAAGAGATGATTTGTTGGATACAAGCAGTGTCTCAAAGGAATCCGGAACAATCCAGAACTTGATACAAAAGGATCGCGTGCGTATTGCGGTGTGTATTATTGCTGCTTCCATTTTAATTCACATCAATTACTTTCCATTCTGTCTTAGTTTGAATACCAATGGAATCTTATTAAATCCAATGATTATGTGATTTTCAGGTTTCGGATGAGGTTAAATATTTAAGAAATAGCCGTGCCGAGCAAACAAAACAAGTTGCTGAGTTTCGTGTTAGAATGAATGAAATTATATCTTCTGATTTGAATCAATGGAGAGCTTTTGAAGATGATATACGCAGTAGCTTAAATTCTATTCTTGCCTCAGATGATAGCAGAAGAGCTTCCTTCCAGCTTGCTCATGATGAGGAGCAACAAGTCACTGCTGTAAGCTTGAAGCTTTATCTTGGCTATTCCTGCTGCCTTGTTTGCATGTGATTATGATTGCCATTTGCCAGATTCTGCTGTTGACAAGTCATACATGTTGTTGCAACACTGTTTTCACACACGATAAACAGACTTAAAAATAATGCAAAGCTAATTAACATCTTTAAAGTTAGGGCAATTTTTTAATGTTGGTGTAGCACTGTTCTCACACAAAAGACAAACTTGTAACAGGAAAATTGGATACACATACTCCGCACTCTGATAGATGAAAGAGGTCCATGGTCAGCTAATCCATTCCCTAACAAAATTGTTACACACTGGAAGCTTGACAAGACAGAAGACAGATGGAGGCGTAGGCAGAAGTTAAGACAAAATTATCATTTTAATGAAAAGCTTTGTCATCCTCCTTCAACTGTTCCTACCAATGGGACTATTCCTTCTCCACCCGAAACAAAGTCAGGGTTTGCAGCTCACATTCCACAGCAAATGAAACAGTTCTTGCTTAAAGGAATTCGAAGGATTACAGATGAAAGTTTTTTGGAATCTGTAGAACTTGATGCTGAAATCAGTGAGCACAAGGCTTCCACCAGTGAGGATGTACCTGAGAGACACAACTCAGAGGCTCCAAAAGAGGAAAGTGAGCAGCAGAGGGATTTCCATGACAGGAAAGACCATTCCTCTACTACTACTAGCTCAATTGAATCAGAGGTATGTCTCCTAGTTATATGAAAAGTTGTTAAATAAATAATCAGAAGAGAGATTAATGAGAACCCATTGTGAGGATTAATCTGATCAATAAGGGCATGCATGATTATCAAATATGATGTCAAGCTTGTAACCAAATAAAGTTTGTTGGAAAAAAACAAACCCACCAACCACAAATTGACATGTGGCTTTTGTTAAATAGATAAAGTGTTGCTGAATGTCAGCATATTTACAATTATGCCATTGCGTCCAACTCCTAATAACATCATTTTTCCAATGAATTTCGATCAAATCAATGGATCAGATTAGTCCTCACAAAAAAAAAAAAAAAAAAAGGTTCTCACCAGATCTTAAGCCTAAATAATCATATACCATATGTATATCTTCATACTTTTCACTTTGATCAACTGCCAGGTGCTCATGTCTGTTCCATGTGTACTTGTTACACCAAAAAGGAAACTAGCAGGTCGTTTGGCTGTGATGAAGAAGTTTCTACATTTTTTTGGGGAGTTCTTGGTTGAAGGCACAGGTGGATCATCTGTTTTTAGAAATATTCAAGCATCTGGTGGTTTTGATTCAAATAGAAGTGATAATTTAGCAGCACAAAAGCAAAAGTATATCAAATGGCCACTTAATTTAGATTTAACATCCGAGGGGGAAGCCTCTGATAACATAAATGCAGTTCTTGGTAATCTTCTTCAGAAGCAATCTGAAAACATCAAGCGCCATAGAAGATGGGAAATCGGCAAGGTTCTTTTTTTCTTTTCTAAATCAATCCGTTTCCTCCTTTTCAAATTCGTTTCCCTTAAATATTTGGTTTTTTAATAATAGATAAAGGCTGTCCACTGGACTCGCTATTTGCTCAGATACACTGCCATAGAGATTTACTTCAACGACTCAACCGCTCCAATATTTTTTAATTTTGCATCAAATAAAGAAGCCAAAGATGTTGGAAGCTTGATAGTTTCCACTAAAAACGAATCTGTTTCTCCAAAGGGCTACAGAGACAAATCTGGAGTTATTTCCTTCATTGATAGACGTGTTTCATTGGAGCTTGCTGAAACTGCAAGAGAAAGCTGGAGGAGAAGAGACATTACAAACTTTGAATATTTAATGGTTCTCAATACCCTTTCAGGCAGATCATATAATGATTTGACTCAGTATCCTGTGTTTCCTTGGGTAGTGGCAGATTATTCATCTGACACTCTTGATTTTAGCAAGTCCTCTACTTTTCGTGATCTTTCAAAGCCTGTTGGAGCACTGGATCAAAAACGGTTTGAGGTTATTTAATTAAACTTTCTGCTCTGTATGAATTTTAAAAAAGGCAAACCACGCAGAATAGCAATGTACTTTAATATGCTATTATCAGTAAAGAAATTTATGAGTTACATATTGCTATTATTGGTGAAAAAATGCAAGCATGTTGTTATTATGGGTAAATAAATGTAAAGTATATTTACTGTTATGGGTAAAACATAAAGTAGATTGTGTATATTGGTAAAAAGAGTAAAATACATTGCTATTTCCTGCAACTTGATCAGTAGTTTGAATATGCTAAAAGGGTGCTTGTTTGCTTATCATTTCAGGTTTTTGAAGATAGATACCGTAACTTCTCTGACCCTGATATCCCCAGGTAATTCTTTTACTGATGTTGCATTACAGACCCCTATATATATATATATATATATATATATATATATATATATATATATATATATAAATAAAAAAAAAGTAGTAACATGCTTAATATTATTTTGCAGTTTCTTTTATGGATCCCATTACTCAAGCATGGGTATTGTGCTATATTATCTCCTTAGGTTAGAGCCTTTTACAGGCCTCCACCGTACATTGCAGGTATACTTATTTGTGTGTGTGTGTTTTTTTTTTTTTCTTCCATAAAGTAAGTTGTAGAATTTTGATGAAAGTAAGATAAGATGTGTGTTATTGTTTTATAGGGTGGTAAATTTGACCATGCAGACCGACTTTTTCAAAGTATTGAGAGCACATATCGTAACTGCCTTTCTAATACAAGTGATGTGAAGGAGTTAGTGCCTGAATTCTATTACATGTCAGACTTTCTTGTTAACTCAAACTCTTACCATTTTGGAGTGAAACAAGATGGTGAACCTTTAAATGATGTTGGCCTCCCTCCTTGGGCCAAGGTATGTATTTCATACTCACTTGTCACTTCTCTCAAGTAAAACGTTATACATATATATATATATATATATATATATATATATATATATATATATATATATATATTATTCATTATATTATAATCGTTTTTGGCTCAGGGATCACCTGAAGAATTCATAAGTATAAACAGAGAAGCACTAGAAAGTGAATATGTTAGTTCAAATCTCCACCACTGGATCGATTTAATCTTTGGCTACAAACAACGTGGAAAACCAGCAGTCGAGGTTTAAAAAAAAAACTAACTTTTAACATTATTACTTGAACAATTCTTTACAAGTTTTTGGTCACTGGTGCATATTTTAATGATTTATAATAATGATAATATAACAGGCAGCAAATATCTTCTATTACTTAACATACGAAGGAGCTGCTGATTTAGAAACAATGGAAGACGAGTTACAAAGGGCAGCCATTGAAGACCAGATTGCTAATTTCGGTCAAACCCCGATTCAAATCTTCCGGAAGAAACATCCTCGAAGGGGCCCACCAATCCCAATCGCCCACCCTCTACGATTTGCCCCTTCTTCCATTACTTTATCCTCAATAGTTTCTAGTACAAGTACACATCCATCAGCCGTGTTGTATGTCGGTATATCAGAGTCGCATGTTGTCCTTGTGAATCAGGGACTCACCATGTCAGTCAAACTATGGTTGACCACCCAATTGGCATCTGGTGGGAACTTCACCTTTTCTAGCTCACAGGTTGGTTGCTTTCATTCATGATGATATATGATCATTGGTGCATCTATCTCTTTTTTTTTTTTTTTTTTTTTTTTTAATAAAATGTTGTTTATATATATATATATATATATATATATATATATATATATATATATATTTTCAGGATCCTTACTTTGCCATTGGTGCTGATGTGGTTTCGCCTCGTAGAATTGGTAGCCCTTTGGCTGAAAACATTGAACTCGGAGCACAATGCTTTACAACAATGCAGACGCCATCTGGCAATTTTCTTGTTTCATGTGGCAATTGGGAAAACAGCTTCCAGCTCATTTCCCTTAACGATGGAAGATTGGTGCAGAGTGTCCGACAGCATAAAGATGTTGTTAGCTGTGTTTACGGTATATTGAAATATAGCAACCTACTTTTATTTATTATTATTTTTTTAAATCTCATTATATTAAAAAGAAAAAGAAAAAAAAATCCTACAGTTACATCGGATGGCAGCATCTTAGCAACGGGTAGCTACGACACAACCGTGATGATCTGGGAAGTTTTACGAATGCGGTCCCGCGGGATCCCAATCGACTCCTCCCACCGCAAAGACCACGTGATCGCCGACACACCATTCCACATCCTATGTGGACACGATGACGTCATCACATGCGTATACGCAAGCACAGAGCTGGACATAGTGATCAGCGGATCAAAAGATGGGGACGTGCGTATTCCACACCCTCCGGAAAGGCCGATACCTGCGGTCCCTCCAACACCCGTCGGGGTGCCAGGTGTCGAAACTGGTGGCATCTAGGCACGGAAGGATCTTGGTTTATGCTGACGATGATTTGAGTTTGCATCTTTATTCGATTAACGGGAAGCATCTGAATTCATGCGAGTCGAACGGGAAGTTGAACTGTATTGAGTTGAGTGGGTGTGGTGAGTTTGTGGTGTGTGGGGGGGATCAGGGACAGATTGTGGTGAGGCTGATGAGGTCACTTGAGATAGTTGGGAGGTATAGTGGCGCTGGGAAGATCATTACGTGTTTGACTGTGACACAGGAGGAGTGTGTGTTGGCGGGGACTAAGGATGGGAGTTTACTTTTGTATTCCATTCAGAATCCCCAGCTTCGTAGGACCACTGTTTCCAGGACCTTAATTAAAGCTAGACCTACACCTACACCTACACCCATTTCTGGGACGTGATTTCATGCTCATTCATACCTTTAGTTGACTTTACTTCAGGTATATATATATATATATATATTTTTTTTTGGCAGAAGTGATCCAAGTACAATGATTAGGGAGATGTTAAGTGTTTTGCTGACTTTGTTACATATGTGTATTTTAAAGTGCAGATTATGATAACCGATCCCTTTACATGATGACATTACCAAGATGTACAACAACACAAAGACAGTAGTACACTATATAAATATTCGTGCATTTTCCCCATTTCAATACTCCCAAGGAAAACGGTGAAACTATGGGTTGACACATTCTAACACACTAATTCATGTACATTATATGTGGCCTCTTTTTTTTTAATCAAGTTACATGTATTACACATAATGAATTAATCATGATAAATGTAACCATAGATGTGTTGATCTCTTTGTACATATGAGATCAACTCCTTTCTTGTTATTGTTAGTTATAACTTATAATGGCGATCCCCATTTTCAGGGGTTTATAAATATTTTTTTTCTTCTGCCTTATCATCACATGCTTTGGACTTGTAGTGTTAACAAAGCAATCCTAACAACCTTTAAATAAAACAATTAAGAGATTGTATATACTAAAGTAAAGATATACTTTATGCGAATTTCAACATTGTTCACCTAGTTGTGATAAAAAAAAAACCAGCAACTTGATTCATCCAAGTATCCCACGGACTTTCCTTCACTTAATCTTCTTGAATCTTGTTTTTTTCATACAACAAGCTACAGCCTAAAGCAACAATATAAATGGTTATTTGCTTAAGTTTAGAATGGTCACATAATCTCATACCTAATATGGGTACGATTGTGTCCTATTTTTGTTTGGGATCATAAACAAGAAAGTGAGTATCGTCTATGTCGCCTTAAAGCTCACCATCTACCCTTCTTCCGAGTCAAACTGATTAGTAGAATTCTTTATTGGTATAACCTCATCATCGTCTTTGTAGTCCATTGATAAGTCATATCTGAAATCACAGTCTATATCATCTTCACATGTATCACTATATGTGCCCATTTCTTTCACTCTCTTCTTCAATCCACTCAATAATTGGTTATTTGTGGTGGCGAACAGCAAGGTTATTAGATACCGTAGGAAAGTCCAGCCAAAACCACACAGTGTGATCAATGTACACTTTGATTTTAGAATCATTACCATACCATAGTAAAAAAAATTGCTAGCTTTTCAAAAGCATGTAAAAACCATATGGGTATACAATGTATGAATAATTTGTGTATAAATATTTTTCTCAAAATTTTATTATGAAAAGAAAGCTCAATTGTTCTAAAGAAAAAAAAGTTGATTAAAATCATGTTAGCTATTGTCGTCTCGATCATTCAAGAAATAATTTATATGACTTTTCAAGAAGAAGACAAAAGATGAATAATAAGAGAACTATATTCAAAAACTCTATATTATGATTTTGGCCATTGAAGACAAAAACAAAGAAAAAAAATACTCAATGAAGAAAGATATATGAAAAAAAAATCAGTATACAAATATAATAATATAAACTTGACACACGTTTTAACCTAAATATACAAATCAATAGAAAGTAAAACGATATACTTTAACCTTTCACAAGATAAAATATATAAATAAATCACATATTAATATATCTTTGAATGATTTTAGTTATAATTAATTAAGATATTTGTTAAAAATATAAAGTAACACGCCATTAGAAATATTTTTGAAAAAGTATTAGTATTGCAATGAAAGTAAAATTATAAATGATGATAAGGATGATATAACAGACCAATAGTCACCCTAATGACAAGCTAATAGATGTATTTCAAAAAAAAAAATTAAAACAAAATCTAATATATTTGTTTGAAGATTATTATAATTACTTGGTGTAAAAACACCTATTGCAAGAATTCATCAAGTTTGAGGTCATTAACCTTACGTGTTTAAAACACTCTGTGTATGAGTATATAGTGTGTGATAATAATAAAAAAATCTTACAAAAAAAAATCTGTTAATAGAGATTTTTTAATTGAAGCTTTTTGGATAAGTTTGTTAATTAACAAGTTTTAACCAAGAGTTTTTTCATTTATTGTGTATGACCTATAGATTTTTAACCAATTGTAACCAGACAACTTCTACAAATTTCTCCTATTATGGATGCTCTTAAGAATATTTTATCTTTCTTTTCATTCTTTCGCTATCTTCCCTAAAGCTAAGGGTGGTGACTTGTAGAGTATGAGGTGTTGTCCTTCACCTCATTTTTCTTTTTATTACATAAAAAGTCTTTTAACATCAAAAAAACGGTGAAAAGTGATTATTTCATAAGTGAAATGGGAAATAAGTTGAAGAGTTGAGTGATACAACACTGAACCAAACAAAAAGTGAGATATGGTGAAACCATAGCCTAAAAACATAGAAATGATTTTTTTTTCTCTCCCCCATCTGTAAACCATTTTTTTAACAAATAAATAAATACAAAATATAAAACAAGAGATTAACATTAGTAGCAAATAATTTTTATATAGTTTCAAGTTTTACGTCTGATCATAAATTGCCCAATATCCTTCACCCTTAAAAAAAACTACAACAAAAGAACTTCACTGTTGTAGGTTTTTATCGGATAATCAAAAGAACTCTTAAAAAGTTAAAACTAGGGCAAATCGCAAAGTTTTGTCTATTTGTTTCCAAATGAGACCATTACATACTCATTACAACTTGTAGACTAATACCATAAAAAAAGCCCAACTTAGAAATAACCATAACTTTATCTTTCTAACATCATATTGAAGCTTCTTATTTGCCCGAACTAAATTTGTAACCAAAGTTGTGTCACCAGTCGTGTTCATACTCTCCACTTCATCTGCCCAACATATGAAGCCATCACGAGGCCCCTACAGTGGAGGTTATTATTTGTTATGGATTAAGTTACTAAACCCATAAACAAATTATCAAAAATCTAGATCAACAGTTAACATGCAATTTACATTTACCTTTTTGGGGCAAGCATAAAAGAGTCGGCCAGAGTTGTATTTAGTAGTTGACATTCGTAATATTGCTTCACATCCACACGAGCATTCAACTGATTTCATCGAACCCTTCATTTCAGTGAGATCACTTGAACGGTAAGAAGAATAGGAGAGCAAAAGAAAGCTTATTAAGTCCACATATGAGTATATGTAAGGGTAAATTGTGAAATAACGAAATTACCCTCTTTCATACTAATTAATTGTAATTTTCATTAACTACTATTTTTACATTAAATAAACCCGGTTACAAAATAACTTTATACACAATTGCATGTACTTAGACATGTCTTCAATCACCTTTGCCAAAACTAACGCATAAACCCTAATACAAAGCATTATACTACCAAAAGAAAGACACATCCATACCTAATCAACACAAACACTACAAACCACCAACATAAACACCAACATATCAGGGGTTCATGATACCAGGGGTTCATGATACGAAGAAACTTCTCCACCATAAAACCAAAAGTCACAATCACAAGTCCAATCACCAATACCGTCAACGAAGTCACATTTTTTCTCCGTGCACTCATTCCGGCGATGCAATGCGAGCGACTCAACCCTGTTTAACACCAAATCTCGATCCATTTCTTCTTTCAAATGAGTGACTTCTATTTTCTGCTCTGAAATTTCTGCTCCACAATCATAATAAATCGTATGCAAATCGCCGAAGTTGAGACGGTCTCGTGAATTTATACATATTGAATCTGGTGAAAATGGTGGTGGGGTCGCCATCGTGACTCACGTGAAAACGAATTATCGAGGTTATGTCGGATTATCGGTAACCTTTAGTGGAAAAGGGTATTGAAGATTTAGGTTTCATCGAATAAGCCATTGCTTTTATGGACTGATGGGTCCACAGTGACCCTCAGACCCAAGCAAGGAACCGGTCACAACTCAGTGACATGTACACGAGTTAACTCAGACTCAACTCACTTGTTGACTATGCTTATTACGTGTATGGTTTACCTGCTTTAACAGGTAACTGGACCAATTTAGCTAGTAAAGTAAAACTTGGTTCCTCTCAAGTGCGAAAAAAACAATATAGACCATTTAAACCATAGCTAAAAAGATGGTTGGGTCACAGTGATATTTATCCTAAAAAGAAAAACACTAAAAATTTTGAGTTGTATAAAAACGTTATAATTTGGAATTTTTTTGGTTTAACCAAAACAAGAAATGGATATGAAAGAAAAAAGTTGGCATTTAATTATAACTCAAACTGTACAGTATATAACTATATCTATATATATTGTCCAATTGATCTTTGTAGAGTTATATACATATACATTCATTACTGAGTCATGAGTTTTGATATGATTTAAGTTATTATAATAATAAATCTTAACCAAAACCAAATCCTTCATTGGCTTCATGGATTGCTAGCAACAGTCTCTCTTCCAGATGCTGCTTTGACGGATATTCCGGTAGATCCAACTGGTTGAAACTGCAACAACAACCATATTTATATTTAAACATCACAGTCACTCTCAGGGGCAAAAAGGTAATTTTGACAGTGAAACATGGTTATCTTACCATGTATGAGCAGAAGGCAAACGGTCAGTGCTTCCATAAGCCTTGTGAATTTGAAATTTTTGGGATCCAGAAATACCTTGCAAACCACTAAACCCTTCTAAAGGCACCTGCATTGTATGTATGTATGTATGTATGTATATAAATACTTAAATACAGGGCCAAAACTTAAAAAAAAATAGAAAAAAAAAGAAGGTATACACGTACCTTTGAAGTGCCAGTGACAAACTGCAATAAACGAGCCTTGTCTTCTTTGCTTAAAGCTTGAGCAACTTCCCAAAACCACTGAATAACAGGAGATGCAACACTGTATCCAGAATACTCTGTATTCCCTCTCATATCATCCACTAAGAAAGTAACAAACAAAGCGGTGTGTAAATAATAATAACAAAGAACAATTAAATAGAAATAGAAATATAGTTGGCTCATAGTCGATATCTGGAAGTCCACTAATTAAGAGCTCCAATTCTTTATCATGGAAGATGGATATGAAATCCCGAGGGACCAATTCATTAAAACCCTCCAAAAATGCATTTATTTGGGGACGAATAGCAGTGGTCAACCGATGCTCAGCGATTAAGTCAACATATTCATGTTTGTTTTCGTCTGTAACTCGAATGTTTCTTCCACCAGGGATCAGTTCATAGTCCGTTACCTTCAAATTCAATCATACCCAATTACAACAACATTGAAAAAAATCTGAAATTAAATCAAACAATTTTCTTACTTCTGTTTTTTCACATAAGATGAGCTTCTCTTCATCTGCATCGATACTAAATGTAAGATCTAAAATATCATCCACTTCAAGTTTTTGAAGTAACCTGGATCGATAGCTTCAATGTCATGGTAGGTTACTTTTACTCCAAGCATATGCTTATAGAAAGATCTTGTGAAATGAACATCAAGCAACTGCCCATCAAAAACTGCTTTCCCAACCTACAAATAAATAAAAACAATCACACTCACTGTGTATTCGAATATGCATGATACTATTTATTATAAACATGACTTACAACTCTTCCAATGAATTTGAAGTATGAGAGATGTTCTGTCTGATAAACAGAATTTGGATTTGGCTGAAACGTTGACTCATTACCAACGGTTGTAAAAAGCAAAGCTCCCTTGTCAAAAATAACCCTCGATAACAACTGATACCATTCCCTGGTAAGCCCACCTGCATCAATACCTTCTTCCCCTTCAAAATGAACAGTCAACCTTCCCTTTAGATCTTGAGTTAACCTCATTCGCAACTGATTATATGAATCTTCTAGAATGTATGCTCTTCTAACAGAGATTCTCAAAGAGCTATGATGATGATGCTGATGATCGTTTTGTTGCTTGATTTTTGATCTGAAATGTGCCCGCTTGTTGTCAAAATCAATAAAACGTGGGACCCGCAATATCACTGAAAAAGATTTCTCAAGTAATCCCGGGTTTTGTCGGATAAAAGCGTTCAAAAGCTTTCTATGTTTTTCTGAGAATTTCATAAAAGAAACATTCTTTTCATGTCACAAAGAAAGATTCGATGTATGGCAAGATGTTTTGAGTCCCGGAGGTAATGTTCCGGAAGGTTTTGAGGTTAAGGGTATTGATTCATCAGGGGTAGTATCGGTATAAGTCTCGATTTTGCTTATACAAGCACTCAATTCCATCCATAGTGGCTCTAAAGCGGTGTTTATGTCGCTTACTAGTGAAAGGGTAGAAGCCTGCTCTTTTTCTACAGCTGTGTGTTCTTTTTCTTGATTAAGTGAAGAAACAAGGGAGCTTAATGCTTGTATAACCCTTAAGATTGCTGTTCCATCTGAAGTAAAGGAGGCATTATTGATCACTGCTTTTTCAATTTCACTAAACAGATGTAACTCATTGATTGCTAATGAAGTCAGGTTCTTCATGGACCCAGCTAGCTCGGTTATGAACAAATGAGAAAGGTGAGGAGCAATAGCAACCAACTTCTTCAATATATCAGCCACAACAGTATAAACATTGTCCGATAAACTGAAATAAAGATTTTCTTAGCACAACATTCACAAAAATATGTCATTGTCATATCATAAAGGTTTTGATTTCATTTGACAATTGTAACCTGCTATAACAGGTTACAATTGTCAAATGAAATAAAAATTTAAGTCGCATACTTTCCCTAGAAAAGCTTAATTAACACTTTAATGATCAAATGTGACATAAACCCTTAAATCAAAAAGCACAGCTTAAGAAAAAAATCCAGACCTTTCACGTGCAAGCAACGAGCAGAGAAGGTGAAGTTCTGCTTGTGGTAAGTTTAGCAGAATATCATGAAATTCTTTTTCTTTATTAGCACCAGATGATGAGGGTTTAGAGGTTTCATCATCATCATCCTTTGATGATTTAGGATCAGACTCTTTCTTGCTTTCAACATTATCAATGATGACATCTAATAAGTTTAACAGCTGGAACACAAACACACAAAAAGAATAGATGGGTATGTTGAAATTTTAGCATATGGGTGAAGAAGAGACTATTTTTAGTTTTTTACCTGCTCAAGATGTGCAATACTTCTCAAATAAAGTGGCTGTTTTAAGAGGCTCAACAACAATGTGATGGACAATAAACCTTCTGTTTCATCATCTTGAACAATCATGACAGCTTTACCACGAGCCTTATCAAGAGTTTGTGACCCCCTGGAAGCTTCTGGAAGGATTCTAAACTGAAGCAACAGTTTGGCAACAAATTTATGATTCTTGGCTAGGTATGTTAGGGTTTCTAGAACACGGCGCGACACCAATGGTGGTACACCTAAAAATAGAGACAAAAATAATTAGCTCACATAAAATAAAAGTCAAAAACATAAACCCCAAACCCTAAAATGCTGTGTATTACCATCAAAACTTTGAGGGCGAGAATACATGAGATGACCCTGGCAAGAATAAAGCCGAAATGAAGGCTCAGAAGCATTTGAACCACTATTGGACTTTCTTGTATCAAGGACCAAAAACTCCATTAATATTTTTACCACATCAGATCTAGTGTCAGCATGAGCACATAAATTCAGGAGCAGTCTTTGTAGCTGAGGTTTGTATATTGGCTGGATAACAAAAGAAAAACAACACAAGGATGAGAAGGTGTGAGAGATAATGTGCAGAGTCACTCTGGCTGGATGACTATCTGAACTACTCGAAGCAACCGAATCATTGCTTTGAGATCACCCGTGTCAACTAAAGGAGCTCCATCAGTTTCAATAGGCTTACTTCCTGTCGACCTACGTGTCGCAACCCCATTGGATCCAGCTACTTCACCTCTTCTAGAAGGCTCGCCTCTCCTACTTCTAGGGTACATTCCAAAAAGTGTCCGGTTGAAGCGACCAACAAACCTCTCTCTCAACATGTTTGCCTCCGCCACAAGAGCAGGTGTAAGATTGGAAAGAACAGCTTCTGACGATGTTAAAAGAACCTGAAGATATATAAAAATTGGGTTAAAATATAAAAAGGATTACTCAAAAAGAAAATGTAAGAAAGAAAAAAAAAACATACCTCTTCCCGTGTTTCCGAAGGGAAAGTAGCGATTATTGATACGGTATCCATCTCCTCAGGTTGACCTTCCAATCCGTGTGACCGTTGTGCCCCTTGTGCCTGTTGTTGTGCTAAAACTTCCGCCCGAATGTCTGGCGGGAGTGCTGTAAGGAATTCAGGGTCAATTTCATTGTCATTGCCATTGCCATTTTGTGGTTCAGTATTTACGGGTTGTGCCACTGGACCCTGGCGACCAGAAAGAACCTCAGCACGCAACCCATCAGGAAGCGCATCCAGGAACGCAGGGTCAATCCGTGCATCGTCACCTTGCTGTTCTGTTTTTTGAATAGGGTTTTCCGAAACCTCAGTTACACTATCAAGTGATGTCATATTCCCATTTGTTCTTGGTTGCCTCTCACCACCATCATCACTTCCAATTTCAACGTTCAAACTCTGAAGACTTTCTCCTAATGTGGCTCCACTTTCACTTCTTTCCTGGCTCACACCTTCAACAGATGGACATATGTCTCTTTGAGATTCATTGTTTTCAGTACCAGTATCTTCAGGAGGAATGGAATCACCAACACCGTTGTTGTCAGTAGTGCGTTCAGGTTCGTTCGTTTCGACCTCCGGTGGCTTTTCAGGAGTTGGGGGACTCAATTGAGAAACCAATAAATCTTCAAGGCCTGAGGGAATAACAGATGAATTTGTTCCACCACTTTGCTGGTTATAAGCCCACATGCTTAGACGATGTGAATGTCCATGGCGCCCATTCCTTAACGACCGGAATACCGATTCCAATCGTGATGAGGTTGACTCTGGATTTCTGTCAGCAAACCCATCATGAGATGAAGAAGGCTCCAAGAGGAGTGGATGCTGAGAGGGCCCAACAGTCCTCCTAAGAAGATTATAGATGGACGTTGTACGCCCTTGACGTCTAGAACCAAAAACCTCAACAGGCATCACTTGGAGGGCATCATTGGAAAGACCATGGTCTCTTCCAAATACCTCAATTTGGTCCAATACATTCATTTCCTCACCAAGTCCTAATATCACTCCACCATCATCATCGTCTTCATCATCATCATCATCATCATCTTCGTCTTCTTCTTCCTCCTCGATCATGTCCTCATCAAAATCATCTTCATCAACTTCATGTTCATGCTCATCTTGATCCGTGTCAAGATGTGGCAAATGATGGACTTCTTCATCTTCATTGTTTTCATCTTCATCTTCATCTTCCTCTCCATCTTCATCATCATCATCATCATCATCATCATCATCATCAACTTCATCCCCTTCATCCCCTAACATATCTTCATCGTCATCTTCGTTACTCTCTTGATTATCATCTTGGATTTCAAATCTTATTCCAACATAATCAAAACCATTTTCAAGAGCCCGAATATTATTCTCAGAAGTTTCATGCATGTAATCATCTTCATTTGGGGGAGCAAAACTTCCATCAATATCCTGATCATGTTCCATGTCATCTGTAACAACTTCAGATCCACGATAAGTCTCAATGCGTTCAGTGGGGACAGAACTTGCAATATTTTCATTTTCAGTTTGCTCGTGTTCAGTATGATCAGGAGGTTTTGCTGCATTATCACCTTTTCCATAATTACCCTCAGCAGCATTGACATGTTCTTTTGTAACCACTTCTAAAACCTTAACCACCACAGGAGCAACTTTGAGTAAATCAACATGATCCAAGTCCATGACTTTTAGGGTTTGTGTAAGTGACTTAACCAGACCAACATCAATAAAAGTAACAGAATCTTCCCCAGAAATTGAAGAACCTGTAGGCGAGCGAGCAGCCATCACATCATTCAGCAAATCAACAAAAGCTTGAATATTCTGACCTGGGGGTTGAGGAACCTCAGAAGAATTATGGAAATCAACAAAAACATTATTAATCTCCACAAAGATTCTCTTCCTTGCCTCTATAGAACGCACACAAGAGGCAACTAAAAATTGACTAGCTTTGACCGCAAGTTTATGCCTCCAGTCAACATCTGTCTTCTTCTCCTTATTATTATTATTTTTCAAGTAAGGAAGAAATTGATGAAGAATATGATGAAATACTCCACCCTTTTGGGCACTGCTAACTTCATTATCTCTTCGAAGCAGAACATAAACAGATGGACTATACATCAACAGAATCTCTGTTAGGAGCTTTAAAATGAATACAGCTTTCGCCATAGATGCAAAATACTCCTGGCTATTATTTTCAGATGTGGCTTTCCCTTTCCCCTTGTTCAAAGCAACATCAATGTCAATATCCGTTAATGATGAGTCATCGTCTTTTACAGGAGGTGTAAAAGTTATAACAGAAGCCAAAAGCAGCTCGATTACATTCACAAAACTCTGAGGAGGTTTACGATGAATTTTGATCTTCACTGGAGTTTTTTCCTTTTCCTTTTCTTTTTCTTTTTCTTTGGACTTGTCTTTATCACGGTCTTTTAGCAATATAACATATGGTCTTTCACCAACCATCTCAATTTGGCAAACAGACTGTGCAGCCTGCATGAAAACCACAAGGTCCCTTGAAATGACAGATGTCAGATTCATGAGGAAGTTACGGGGTGTAAGTCTTCCATTAGACTGTCGGCTGGCAGCTGTAACAACACTTTGTTTTATTTCAGATTCCATTGCTTGCTGGAGAGTTTGTGGGTCTTCAAGAATATGGCGAATGATCGATCCAGCAGTGTTATCAAAGCCAACAAACAGACTACCTGAAGGCAAAGATAGCAGCAAAGGCAAGCCACCAACATTTAGGAAACCAACAGCAACAGAATGACTTCTTGTAAGCGTGGAACATAGCTGCAAAACAGCATGAATCGTTTCAGATGGAAGTTGGTTCTTCAAATAGCCACAAGATATCTCAACAAGTCTCTTTTGCTCCTCTATACCCATTGCATTACCAACATCCTCTTTCTTTAACAGCTCTGAAATATCAGTGTTCATCTTTTCATCCACCTGAGCAAGGCGATCAACACAAAGAAAGGCTGCTGTCACCCATTTAGGAACCTGCAAAGTTTCATTCTCATGTATACCAGAGTTCCAGTTTGACAAAAGATCCGAAGCAACTTTAACTAAACTGCTTTTAGAAGCAACTTCCCGTAAGTCTTCATCCTTGTTTAGAAGCAAAGCAAGAACATGAAAGAGGGATAACAACATCACATCATTTCCACTACAAAGCTTTACCTGCTCCACTACAAATGTTATAACATTTGACTTGTATTGACCATCTTCATGAGAACATATCATTAGAAGAAGGTCCCGAACTGAAAATGCTAGAGAATCCTTCGTTTCTAGAAGCTTCTTACAAGTAGACAACAAGTCATCAACGGCAGGTAAATGTACAGTTTCCTCTTGACCTCTTCGATCTGCTGCTGATTGGTATCAACTGCAACAGATGAAGAATTACCAAGAGACATAGCAAGTGCTTTAGCAAGTTCATCATCTTCTTGTACTATTTCAGGATGTGAGAAAAGCCATTCTGTTGCCAGCTCTACACTATTGGACCCCACTTGTCTCAAAGCATCTTCTGCTCGTGATCTTGGAAACCCCATCTCAACTATCATGGATATAGTTGTTTCATTTGGAGGTACAGAGGGACGCGATGCAGAATTTTTCACTTCAACCCCAGAAAATACATGGCGGATAGCAGAAATCACTGTAGAAACAAAATCATCGTTGCAATCGGTGAATTGGGGATGAGTCCACAGAGGAAGCACAACTTTCAGAATCATGGATTGAAGAACCTTCACAAAAACCTCGGGATCTTTCGGGAAGAGAATGTCTCCATTTACAAGCGGTTGTGTAAGCAGATGTTTTGTAGATGGAGACAAAATAAAAGCTGATGTCACAAGGTGATCCATAAGTCTACCATAGTTGGCTAATAGACCATTAACCGTTTCTTCTGTGTCAGTTTGCTTCAAGACCCCCTCATCAGTTTCCATTGGAGTCCTAAAAATAAGTTCAGTGGTAGCTTTGAATGTGGTCAAAACTGACTGAACAACCCCAACACCATACAGACAGTTTAACGGAATAGGATTACACGAGTCAGGTTTATCCAGTAAAACACCATCGATAAATTCCACAACTTTTCCAAGGTAGCGACAATTTGCTGACATGGATGCCACTGACTTCACATGATCTTCGAATTTCAAATGATCTAGTGAGATGGAAGCAATCATGGAAGCCACTGATTTTGAAGAAGGCGTAACTGTCACTGTATCATCTCGTCTTCTAGAAGGAAGCAACATAGCTTTTCCTAGCTCTTGAAACAAATTTGTGATGTGTGAAGAGAGTGACCTCATCATGTCTGAAGATCCAGCAGGATGTGACCGTTGACTAGTGGGATGTGATCGTTGACCAGCTCCAGAAGAATGAGTGAGATCGCGATACATATTAATCAAATCAAAGAACTGGGATTCAGAGCTCAATCCCGACATTTGCCTTCTCATTAAAGGATCAAGAAACTGTCTAAATGAATTAAATCTTTGTTCATCGGTTTCTAAAGGCTGTGATTCTTCCCCATCAACATTTTCATCCTTGATTTCAATCTTAGCATCTTCAAGCAACACAATCTGCCATAAAATCTCACGGTGGACTCTTCCGATATCTTCTAGAACATCTTTGCTACCATTCCCAAATTCCTGGAGTAAAGCGGTAACCCATTTATTGTCCTTCGAGGCAGCTAGAGACAGAAGGAATTCAACAAGAAAAAGGGAAGGAAAAACTCTTGAATCTGGTGTGGATTCCGGATCTAACAGAAAAGAACCTGAAACAACCTTAAATCCTGCTAAAGTTGTCTTCAAATAATCCCAGAGCGAGGAACAAAAAGCACGTGCTAAAGAAGCAGAGTGATGTTGGGTAAAACTTTTGAAAACCATTGTGCTATGTAAAGCTATAGACATTCCTTCTGATGATTGAGTTATACTTGGTCTTAACAGAAGCTTCAACAATGCTTCAATCCCATTTAACTCTACAAACAATCGACAATTTTCAGCATTTTCCATTGTTCGATGAACCAACACCATTACGTGAAAAATACATAATTGGATGAACTGCTCATCACTAACTCCTTTTTCCTTCTCTTCGGTGTCCACATCCATAACATCACTCCCATTGACTTCCCCAAATTGCCCTTTACCTTTACTTTTACTGTCCTCTATTGTAGAAATTTTGTTGATAATCTCAATAATCAAATCTACACCGGTTGGTTTTAGGGAAGTAACATGGCGCATAAGCTCCTCAAAAGCATTAGCCAAAGGCACAATACCATCACTCATCGGAAGGACATATTTCTTGAGGGTAAAAACATCAACTAAGAATCTCAAAGCCGAAGTTTCTTTGACTGCTTCTAGTCCCTTGGCATTGATACAAATAGCTGCAAGACCATTAGGAACACAAGTGAGAGACTTTGAAGAAGGAAGAACGCCAGCTGTCTATGTTGATAAAAACGCGTCAGGAAGACCGGCTTCATCCAATGCAGGATAACAAGTGGGATCTTTGTGAATCAGTTCACACATCACAGTCACGGTTGAAGAATATATATCGCCTCCAAATTTATCCACATTCTGAAAGATCATTACAAGAGTGGCAGGGAGAGAAACGCCATTTGCACTCTGATGAGTGTTTGCTGGAGCATAAGTAGCACAACCGAGTGCTTTCAATAAAACCCTAATGAGCTTCTTCTATGAAGAAACCAGATCCTCACTTGTGTGAGAACACTCCCTGATTCTCATTGAACCATCATCTCCTGTAGCTGAATGACTCGAACGAATCACTCTATCCACTTCTGTCTGCAGTCTGATGGTCAAAAGGTCAACCCCTCCCAAGTCTCTGAAAAGGGTAACAACCGAGTTACTATAATCCATGAGCTTTTGTAGAGTCTTCACAGATAAACACACAAGATGCATGTGTAGAGGATCCATATCCTCTAAAAGAGGTAAAAAGGTTGGAACCATTCCCGATCCCCGTATAACACTCCCAGGACTTGAAGTTGATATCACTTGAAGCAAGTAGAATTGTAGCAGTGCTTCAATGAATGCAATAGACGATGGATCACTTGACTTGTTTAATGATGAAATTTCCCTTTGCAGGACATTAAGAAGAATCACACGGTTGCCACTTGCAATGTTTGATCCGTTAAGAATACGCGCCCTCTCATGAGACGATGAATAAGCAGCCAGTTATGATCCCAAAGCATGCATAGCAAGTGTACGAATAGTTGGAGATATGGTCTCTTCAGATTTCACAAGTCTGATCAACTCGTTTGTGTATTCTGGCTCATTTGCAAAAAAGGACATGAGTTCATCATGGGAATCGCTTGATTGAACAAGAACAATGAAAGCAAGAAGACATATCTTGCTGTACAGCTTGCATATTCTTAAAGAACGAAAAGCATGAGCATATCTAACCCTAGTCAACAACAAAAACCTATGGTCAACAGGTACGTTGTACTTCTCAACCAACAGCTTCATTATCGATAGATCATCCTCTTTCCACATATGAAGATCTGGAATGTGAATTGTATCTGTGCCATGCAACTCAAAGTATAGGGTGGACCCCACGTGGTTTTGGGAATTACCATTATCAGAAGGCAAATCTGAAGGTAATAAGGACAGACTATTGTCCTGTGTTCTTTCGTTTAAAACAACACATGAATACATGCCTAAGCCCTCTTCCTTGCTTCCCCATCCCTATGCTAATGATAAAAGACAACTGTTTATTGAACCACATCCTATGAGCTTCCCGTTTCCATGGAGCTTTGAGGGGTTTATTTTCACTAATGTTGAGAGTGTCTCCAAGGTGGCAATGAGAACCTCAGGATCAGTTGATGCAAGTAATAGCTTGAAATGCTGAAAAAAACAGAAGCACGGTTTAGAGAGGAACATTTGACATATTTGGAGTAAATATAGAAACATACCTCTAAGCCACTAAATGATCCCTTGTTGTGGCAATTCTCTAAAATGATACGCATCACACGAAGAATTTGGAGAACTGATTGCTTTGGGAAAGGACTGTCATCTTCTATGATATTATCTGTCAAAAGAAGATCCTTCCTAGCAGACAAATATGTCTTGAAGTATGTATCAAAATGCAGGAACAGTGGCCTCCAATGATGAAAATTGCCCTGAAGATAAAGTAAAATGTTTAGCCAAGCGCCACTTGGACAAATCTTTAAAAAAAAAGTGGCATGGCATATGATCTATCACTCACCTTGTTGTACTCCCAAGAGAAACCTGAAAGGGGGATTGCTATATCTTGTAATGGACACAGTATCACCTTGTCGATAAATGCCTTTACTTTTGGAGGCTGCAAATAAGACAAAATGCATAGAATTGATTTCTTGTGGATGTAGCATATTGATTATAATTGTATTTGCAAGAAGATTCATAGCAGCTTCCATCAAGAAGTGCTATGGTTAACATTAAGAATCATAGTGCAGCTAAAGACCAGGAGTAAAAATGCATGAAAATCAAGAATAACTAGCCCTAATGCAATAGGCCAATCATGCAATACATGACCTGGGACAATTACTATGTATACTTTAAATGCTCTTTCAATAATGCCATTCCAAAATCATGAATTATCTTCTAGAAGCTGCCCTAAATGCATACCAATCAATAACAACACTATAATAAAGAACTCGTAATCCTAAAGGCAACAATGGATTAACACAACACGCATAAGCACCTGCCAAAATGATCACTCAAGCAAAAAAAAAAAACACTTCATATTTCACTACATATACCAAACGCAATGAAGCGAACATTAACAAGAAGAAACAAAAACTTACAGTCTCGGAATCGAGTTTAACATTTGGACCAATTGATCCTTCACCGGATAAAAGCTGCCGTAACCTCGACAGCAAGCTCGATCTTACGGTACCCGCCATATGATATCAGACTGTCTTTTTCACTCCTCTACACTCTTGTTATTTTGAAAATACGATAGAAGAAGGATTCAATCAAAGATTAAAGTCTGAAACACAGCGATTGAAAAAGAACGTAGAAAGAGATATTGACCTGGTTGTGTAGAGGGAGGAAAGAAGGATTAATAACATCAAAATTGACTAAAAAATCTAGAGAGGGAGAGAGAGAGAGTATGAAAGGGTTTAAGCGTGTGTTATAATGAAGTCCCTAAAGCAAAGCAAAGCAAAGCGCAGAAGAAAGAGAGAAATGTTTTGCTTTAACCTGAAATGTGAGAAGAGAGCTGCTTTTTATAGAGTAAGGATGTTGAAGTGGTTGTCTTCTCTCTCTTTCGCGACTTTGTTTGGGGAAAGGGAAAGGCTAAAAACGTAATTTTAGTTAAACGCTTTTTAAAAAGAAATTAGAATGTTAAAAGTCATGATTTTTTTTAAATAATATATTGTTCCGAATTCAATTTAACAACGAAAAAGAATAATTGATTGAAATGAATAAAAAAAAAAACTGGTGTTTCATTAAGAATATGTTTGGCAAAACTTGCTATCAGCTGATATTTGGAATATATAACATTTATTTGATATACGAGTGCTTGACAAAAATAATTAAAGTTTTTGAAATATATAAAATTACATTAAAAGATAATATATATATATATATATATATATATATATATATTATATATATATATATATATATATATATATATATGGGAGCAAGGATGAGATTTAGAACTGGAAAATCGGACCAGAACCGGAATCAGAATGGAACCGGAATATATAAAAACGGTTCCGTTTCCGGGTTTAAAAATTGGATTTATCCGGGTTTGGGTCCATCGGATCCGGGTGATCCGGGTCTAAAAATCAGAACCGGTGTTTGGAACCAGAACCACTTTTAGGGTCGGAACTGGTTTTTGTGAAACGTTTAAAAGATGTATATCTCATTCGTTTCAACTCCGATTGACATGAGGGTTTTTCCAATATGTAGTTTAGAGTTTGTACATGATTTTAGACTATAAATTTTTCATTTTTAGTTTTATATTCATTGACTTACAGTCCCCCAAAGTCAAGATATCAGAGCTGAAAGTTTTTAGTTTTTTAGTTTTTTTGTATTCGGTAAAAGTTTTAAAACATGTATATCTAATTCGTTTGAAGTCAGATTGATATGTGGTTTTCCCAACTTGTAGTTTACAGTTTGTATATAAGTTTATACTATAATTTTGTCATTTTGGTTTAATATTTAATGATTTAAAGTCCTCCGAAGTCGGGATATCAAAACTATTTTTTTTTTACTTTTTAGCTATTTGTTTTTGTACTTTGTATTCTGTGAAAATGTTAACACATGCATATCTCATTCCTTTAAAAAGGATTGACATGCGGTTTTTTTTTCCAGAGTGTATTTTAGAGTTTGGACATGATTTTAGATCATAATTTTATTAATTTTAGTTTCATATTCAATGAGTTACAGTCCCCTAAATTCGGGATATCAATATGAAAATTTTCAAAGTTCAACCCACTAAGTAGTAAGTAATTACCAAAAAAATCCGATTTTTCCGGATTTTTCGGTTCTAAACCCACTTTATCCGGTTCCAACCTACCCACTTTGATGTTTCCGGGTTTTTCGGTTCTAGACCAACTTTACCCGGTATCGTACCTGGAACCGAACCGGAACCGGTTCCTACATACCAGTCCGGTTTCCGGTTCTTCAAAATCTTATTAACCGGTTTTGGGTTTTCCGGGTCCGGGTCCATCCAGTCCGGGTTTGGACCCACTTTCATCCCTATATGGGAGGGTTCATGCAAAAATACAAATATTTTGCGAAAATGCAAAAATGAACTTTAATAAAAGTGGGTCCAAACCCGGGTGAACCCTCCCATATAGGGAAGAACTTGAGAAATTACATACATAATTTATATTTCACAGTTAAATTAACGAACTAAAAACCTATATATGTGCATCAGAATTTCATCTCCTATCTCATTCTCTCTTATATAACACAAAAATCAAGTGAAAATCCACAAAGAAAGAAGAATCGGTTATTAATAAGGAAAAGAACAAAATCAGAATCAGTTATTAATAAAGAAAGACCGAAATCATGTATGAAAAAGGTCAAGGAATAAGAGAGATATGTGAGGCGATGATGTGATCACAGTTAGTAAAACTTTGATTCCTACTGATATTGTCCATCATCGTTCAAAAGTTCCCCAATTTCACTTTGTTTCGTTTGGGAGCCTTTACGTTTTTTAATCAGGTATGCAAAGTTATAGACTAGGGTTTTGTTAGAGAGGAGAAGGGGCGGAGGTTTGCAGTGATGCGTTATTAGCGGAGGTGGTAACTGAGAGTGAAGATGAAGAATAGTGGGTGGTTGTTGTACATTAGGGTTAGAGAGAAAGATGGTACCGTGTCTCTTGAAACCCTACAAACGGCCCCTTCGAAACCTTAATCCTTTTGTGTGAGTTTTAGTAACATTTGAGTGTTTGGTGTTCATTTATGAAGGAAGAACTCCATTGAGAATCTCTTGGGAAGCTCTAAGCTTTGTGGATATGGAATTTGCACCTCATGATCATCTCCCATAACGTATAAAGTGAATGATATTTGAAATAATAATTATGATCAAATAATATATATAGACGAGGTGATCATATACATTATACGACTAGCAGTAAAAAATAACAACAATTATAAATAACGTAAAATAAAAAATTTACATTATGTTACCTTACAAAAAAGTGAATGATATTTGAAATAATGAATTGCAAAAATGGTCCCTGTGTTATGTATTTTTTTTGTGGTTTTAATCCAAACCACAACTTTTTTGGTTTTATGGTCCTTTTGGACTAGTTTTTATGTGAAAATCGTCCCTCCGAAAATTAAAAAAACTATAATACCCTTGGGGTATTTATTTTCCATTTTTCTTTCATATTTTTTTTAAATTTAATATTTATTTATTTATTTTAACAATTAAAAAATAATAGAGGACTCACCTCTCTCTCTCTCTCTCTCTCTCTCTCTCTCTTTCTCCCCCTATATATATATATATATATATATATATATATATACATATATATATATCTCCAAATATTATTGCTCTTTCATCCACAATCCAACATGACCACCCACCACCGCCCTTGAAACCAACTCCGACAACCGGCGTACACCACCACCAATAACCACCGATGCTAAATCTAACGACACTAAAACATAATGAAACCTTAAACCATAAATTAAAACCAAACCAAACCATTTTTCTAAGAAACTGCATCAATTCTAAATAAAAGACTTGATTTTAGTCCTCGATTTCAACCTGTATCAAGCCAATCAAACCAGGAAAAAGATCAAAACCTTGTTTATAAGAAACTGCATCAATGCCACCAGCTTAGCTTTGATTGCAGGTCCAAAATCACCAATTGGCTTCAATTTATATTCATATATTTTCCCCTAAAATCCCCCAAATTTACCAAATTAAGATTACAATTTCACAGTTCATAAATCAATCTGGAAAAGGTAATCGACGTAAATATTGAATAAATGAACGAATAATAGATGATTGAAGATACGCTACCTATTGATGAAATAAAAATCATAATAAAGTAATCTGGGTCTAATTCCTCGCCGCCAGTAACCTGCATCTGTGTCGAAAGTCGTTACTGGAGTTTTGAGAATATCGGAGTTGTTGAGACCAAGATTAGTAATGGGGATGACGCTTTCCTACGAGAAAGAGAGGGGGACGAGAGGTGCGTGATCTGGGGTTGTTGAAACGAAGAAATCAGAAACTAGAGAGGAAATCGACGAACCTTCTTCGTTGGGGTTGGGTGGGTTAGAGGGTTTCAGATCGTCAATGAGATGATGACACATGTTCTCAATCTTCATTACCTTCATCAGCTTCGGCGGAGAGTGTGGGTTTCGTTGTCTTCTCCGGTGGCAGTAGGGAGGAAGTTTGATTTGGAACTTCTTCATCCTAAGAAGTGTGGGTGTTTTGCTGCAATGAGTGTATGTATGTGGTTTTGTTGAGAGAGAGAGAGAGAGAGAGAGAGAGAGAGAGAGAGAGAGAGAGAGAGAGAGAGAGAGAGAGAGAGAGAGAGAGAGAGAGAGAGAGAGAGAGAGACTCTTCTTGCTTTGATTTAACATTTATATTTAAATAAAAGAAAAACATGATTAAGTAAATGGAAAAAACCAATTAAAAGGGCAAATTCGTATTTTCAAGTTTATCGGGAACCAATTTTACAATGATACAAGCCTAAAAGGACCACGAATCCAAAAAACTCGTGGTTTGGATCAAAACCTCAAAAAAATACATACCACAGGAACCATTTTTGCAATTTTGTCTAATGATTATGATCAAATATAAAAAAAAATGTTCATATAAGTTATATTTAAAATAATTAACTTTAACGATCATTAAAATTAATATGAAATAAAAAATTAAATTTATTTTTGTTCACATGTAAGTTACTGACATATATCCTTGAAATGTTATGATTTAAAAAGAAAAAGTCTATTTGAATTGTTTAACCATAATATTAGTTAAAAGTAATTATAATTCAAAAAATAAATAAATTTTTTATTTGTATGTGCAAAACACAGATAAAACTATTAAGATGATGTTCTTTTAATATTTATCTATCTTATAGTATATTTAAAATAATTACATTATTTTATAACAATTAAACACAAGAGTCGTTATTTAAAGTTAACGACACAATTCTTTAACAACATATATTTGTCCACTTTTAATTATATTATAACATTTTGTACAACATACAAACATTCGCCTAATAATATCTTATACGCTTGTCATTTTATACAAAATAGCAACACACTTTAAACTTTATGTAGGATAAAAATGATTACTTTATTATAATAGAGGTATATTATCATAATTAAATAGTCAAATCAATTGTCATATCAAATATGTTCGAAAATTGGCCAAATGATGGACAACACGCATTATCATGTTCTACATAGTAAATGGGGCCTAAAGAAACAAAGGTCTTTTGGTCTCTTTCACCTTTTTATTCTATAAAATGACAAACAACTCCAAACCCTACATAGCCAAACAAGTAAAAGTTTATATTTATTTTGGGACATGTTTTACACAAGTTGAGTTCTATAGACTTAAAGCCTTGCATTGAATCACATACACTTGTCCATCTTGCACTACTCCTTCAATATCTTGGGGACATTCGTATAAGTCTTCTATAATCTTTGCAGCTTCTGCAATCTTTGAGTGAATCAAGGCTTGAAAATGTAGATCAACCACCATCGGGTCTCTCGAGTACACCAACACAACTTCCTCCTTGTTTTCCATTAATATACTGCAAAACGTTTTATCTGTAATCACAACCTTGTACTGTGTTTGGCATGAGACATGTATTGGACTGGAACTCAGACCAATGTCCATGGAACAAAATAACAACTTTTTGCCCATCCAAAAGGTGGTATAGAGAATCGTTTTCAATCTCTCGTTTGTGCAAATGACATAAACGCCCTCTCCGCATATGGCCCATGGAATTTACACTAAACCCTTACCTAACTACATATAAACCATCCCAAAATAATTTAAGTAGAAGCCCTAACGACATTGACACCAATTAAATGTTTATGTATGCAAACAATGTTTCACTTTTTTACCAATTTATGCGAATGATACGAAATATGCAACCATGTTTCAACTGATCAAGCAACTAAGCAATAAAATATTGCATCTTTTGGTTCTAAAATATTTCATATACATATTTATATTACATACCTGTCATATATACCATGACATGCATATCTGTTTGTCTTTTCGGATATGAAATCAGGCCTAAAGATGATTGACCTCTTGTTGTTTGCATATAATCCAATGGACTTGCTTGGGTAACAAGTAACCTGAAAGTCACATTACAAACTAGTCATGGAAATGAAATCTAGTTTTCATAGCCATATATTTATTCATGTTTTAATGAGTCTATATGATCTTACAATAGGTGATTTAAGCTCAGATTTCTTAGTAATAGAACTCATAGCACGCCCTGGTGAAGCACCAATTAATGTTTCAACTGACCCTTTGACTATCTGTTCCAAATATGCAACCAAACCAAAAGTAAGTCAAAGGGGTCCATTAAAACTTTAATCCGTGTAATTGATATCAAATTAGACAAAATGGTCTAAAACGACTAAACTACCCCGACTTATATCTATTTTGTGGTCAACATTAGAGCCAAAATTGAAAAATCAGATTAATACCCAGGGACAAAAAATGTAAGAACATAAAAGAAACTTTGAACTGGAGTGAGACTGAAACTGATGTCAATGGGTCAAAGGTGTAAAAGACATGAATGCCCTCCTCATTCTCATAAGCCATAAATATGAGACTTACCTCTGTGTATATCTGTGAGGAGTCACGAGACACAGGATGATTTGTGTATGTGACAAAGGCATAATCAGCTCTAATATGTTCTTGAATCAAAATACCAATGCATAATGTATCATGATTCCTGTTTTTATATGCTCTTTCATTCCATTTAGAACCCCAAACCTGGATAGCAGACGTTAAAACCATTCCAATTTTTTATTCAAAATTTCAGTAGGTTTGACCATAAAGTCAAACCCCACAACTACTTTTTGGGAAAAATATCAGATTTACCTTCTTTATTGCTTGCCAGATTTGATTCCATGTGTCCTCTGCAGGACCTTGAGGCCATGGTATTCTTGAACTCTTCATTTTCTTCCTAACCTCAATGCTCTACAAATTTACAAAATTCAGAGCTTTTTCAGATTTTGTTGCAATTAACATTAGAAATCTCAATATAGGAATATCACATTCTTTATCATGAAATGAAAATGAACATATAAATTCATAATGACCATGACCATGTATAATTCAAAAATCAAGTATTAATAAATTACCATTCTACGAGGAGCTTTCATTTGCAAAATAGTTTCTTGAATCATCTTAAGCTTTGAAACGTCTCCCCTATCTACATCTTCACAAAGGCAAGCAATTTTTGTTGCTAATTCCTGAAAAAAATTGATCAATTAATATAAGCTTTAGTAAAAGAGACTGATATATGTAGCCAAAATATATGGTAAAAAAACTGTTGGGAGATATGTGTAATTTCACTAAGAATCAACTTGTTGTGATCATATACTTAATTTCACTCATAGAAAAGGCCAAGGGTAAAAAAAGGCATGAATTTTTCATGAACAAAAAAATGGCAAACCTTATTTATGTCTTCTGATAGAACTTTTTCAAATACTCCAAAAGGAAGGACAACTGATGCTGGAAATTTTATCCATGCTGGCATCTTGTTACTCAAGAATCTAATGCTGTTTGACTTTTCACCAACCTGTCCATATCATTCTATTTTTATTGATGAGGATGAGAAGGGTATTCATGTCTTTTGCACAAACAAGAGATTAAGCATACCATCTCATTACAGGCTTCTTCAAGTGACATAGCATACATATTGCTGAAAATGTTGTTCTTTTGAGAGACTCCTTTCCAAGTGGAGGAAGATGTAGATAGTTTTGGAAAGAAAACAGAGTTGCAGAGGTTTCTGTCAATTAAAAGGAAAAGTTAAAATCTTGAGTAATTAAGAAACATGCTTCTTCAAAAGTTAAACTTGTGGGACACAGATAGAATGTACCTGTGTTTCAATGGCTTTTCAATCTCCTCATCAGACATTTCATTCAGTAAGCATTTAGAGCTTCTTGCACCATCATTTTCAACCTGAAAAAATGAAATTTAAATCATAATCTAGATACTATGAAAGTATGAAGTAGAGTTTGAAAAGAAAAAGATACTTGCATCAACTTGTTCATGTAAATTGATGTGAAAGCTTACTCCATTCATCTTCAACCTATAAAGGCAAAACTACAGTGCATCAGAACCAATAAATAAACTAACATACAATAATTTAAAAAAAAAAAATAGATAAACCATTTATCATGTTTGGAATCTTTCAGAACAAATTCAATGGCGTGTATCTTAGGATCCCTTAGCTCAATGTTAACAACATATGCATCTCTTTCCTACAAGTGAAATACTCAATAATGAAGCTAGAAATGTAGACTTTAAAGTTTAAACAATAAGGCAATGATTTAAAGGACAAACCTTTATAAATGGGGTTCTCAAAGCACTTTTCTTATGAACTCTTGTCCCAGAAGGAATAAAAGAGGGAATAAACCATTTTCTGCAAGAAAAATCAAAATCCAAATGACATAAGAAAGCAACAAGGTTTGAAGTGTAAAAGGTTTCAATCACTTGTTTCCATTGGAAATGCAACCCCAGTGGAGAATCCATGGATGTGAACAGTTTTGAAGTTGAAGTTTCACTTTTGCATTGTGCCCACTTTTATATCCAGATACATCAACCTATCGATACAAAACATTGCTTCAAGATTAGAGGTATACTTTGACTTCTGAGGTCAAATTGGCTTAACTTCTAAATTTCAAGAATCATACACTTCTTTCATATCCTCAAGAAACAATTGATAAGTACAATAATTTATATTGGATGATACGTACACATAGATGAATGTTGGTGTTATCCTTTTTAGTTTTTACCTCATTTATGCCAATTTTGAGCATGAAAAAGAAAATATATTTGACATTAAAACAGGAAATGCTCGTGTGGGTGATGAAAAATGTGAACTACTACTAACCTGAAGTATCATTTCATTTTGGAGTTCAAAAAGTTTAACTTGAGTACATTTGCTAGACTTCAAGGATGCCATAGTGTTTGATCTTTGAACACCTGAGAATCTGATAAAACTGAAGTCTGAAGTATGTTATAAACCATAATGAGGTTGAAAATATTCCCAGATTACTCAATTTTGAAGCAAAGACTCACATTCCCCATGATTCTGGAGGACAGGAATATTTTAGAGTAAAGCATAATAATAATAATAACAATAGTTACAATAATAATAATAATAATAATAATAATAATAATAATAATAATAATAATAATAACAATAGCCCAGAAGCAACATTACATTTCTTCTACTCCATCCTATCACACCAAATACAACATAAAACATAATGAAAAAAAAAAAGGAAAAAAATAAATACAGAATGAAAATGAATTACATGAGTAAAAAGGCTGATAGGATTATTTGAGATTCTGTTACGTGGCAGATTCTAGCAGGTACAACATTAGAACAGAACATCTCCTCCTTTTTTATTGTACCCTTTTTTTTCTATACTTTTAATAACTACCATAAATTATCAGCAGCTAGAGATGAAACCCTAAACATGAATCACTGAGTAAGAAGCTTGGAGTCACATGCCACTATTTTAACTTGACCAACATTCTCCTGGGTTTCATCATACTTGAAGATGGCATCTTGAACAATGAAAGTCCACACATTATCACAGAATCTGTAGGTGTGCAAGTGCCCCTATTATCATAAAAGTAAGAAATTTTTAGAAACATGTTAAGAAAAAAAATGCTATGTGTTAATGAGTTTTTTTACCTTTATGGTCACCTTGCTTTTAACTTGACTATCAAGAGCTTCTGTCATTGACTGCAATCATTACAACACTGTAATCACCAACTGAGACTTAAATCCACACCACAAATACTCCATTAAAGGAATGCTCCACCTTTAATTCAAATCTTAAACTATACAATTTATTGATAACTTGTTGATTTATCATCACAACTCTACAGTCTACACTCCCCATTTGGTCAGATCCACAAAGGAAACGCATCTACTTCTATCCTTTTAAAAATCGAACCTTTATTTACTAGCTACAGCCTACAATCATTTACTAAACGAATTTAAACTAGATTTTCGCAAACGGGGAACATAAAGCATATTTCCAAAGTCTAATCATTTTAGCGTTTCCCTTTGTGGAACGGAGAGTTGGGAATGGGCTCTATTCAAGGTAGGGCATACAGAAACACAATTCAGTAAAGAATTATATGGAAATTTAAGACCTTATCGAACTGAACAAGGACTTGAATAGCAAGCTCCGGACTAAGAACCCCATTCGAAACCATCTCATCCAATGTTTCCGTCAAGCACATACCAATTGTTGATCGGCGGTATAATTCAAAAGTTGCCATTCTTCTTACTGATCAAGATCTGTAAGATGTAAAAAAAATGATCTTTATAAGCCTGAAATCAAGAAATAAGTAATCATAAACCTGAAAAACCTAAATTGTAAAAATATTGGAACGATGCAGATGAATTTGTAGATTTTGTAGCGAATCTTGGACATTTATAGTTGAAAATGAAGGGCGAAAGAGAGAAATTTCTCACCTGAGTTCGTTGTAGAACAGTGGAGGGAGAGAGATTGGGGGTTTTTATACCTAGAAGTTTGTAGCTGCTGGCTTATATATACAAAATTACCCCTACTCTAATTTATTTATTTTTCGTATTGTAATCTGTGAAATACGTGGGTCATCAAAATGGGGGCAATTTTCAAAGATCCAAATAAGAAATGGATCAGTTGACTCTATGAATATCCGGTCCACTGAATCGATAAAATAAACCATAAACGCTTCATTCAAACAAAGTATCATATGGTTTAAATGTTATTTGCCGGCTTAATCATGCTTTAAACATGATATTATGGTCCAATATCATATTTAGAAAACCATTAGTGATCAATATAGCCTATTTTCTTTGTGATATTTTGCCATGTTTATTACTTTTAGTGTTTTCATTCCATGGTTGATCGTATGGAAATTACAACTACTCTAAACGTCTTTTGGAGAACAGTACCAAAAGCTGGCTGGATGAAGTGACTTTTGTGAAGTTGAGTCATCATTGAAAATCATTCATCATGTGCTAGATGTTTTGATCATCTTGTTGTTGATTAATTCTTAGTATTCAGTTATCGCATTCATTGTCAAATAAATTCGAACACAAATCCATTTTAGTAAAGTAAGAAAGTGTATTTGAAGGATAACCAATCTTCAAATAAACATTTCATGTACAGCATGAAGTCATTGATTCCCGTTATGATGTTAAGATTGATGAATAATTGCTTAGAAGATTTAATGATTTTCTTGAGAATTAGTTTTTTGTGAGGCGTGAGGGAAAAATTCCGCTTTTCTTGTGCACCTAAAGGACATAAAGGAATTCTATTACCACTATTAATAATATAATACAATTACATCCGTCAAGTAATATTTAGGAAATGTAGGGTACCATTTATGTTATATCGACATAGTTACTATCACACTATGTAAATATAGTAACCCCAAAATAATTACTACAAAATGGTCATAAGGCCAAATATTAGTGAAATATTCCAAAATCTTTCCACTTGGCCAAATGACCATTTGTAATGAGTATTTGTAAGTTTGGCCAAAGTTATACCAATCAAATTTCATATTAAAGTCATATCGGAAAGATACAATCATGCCTGATTTTATCAACATGAGACCTATATCATGCATACTAAGGTCTCAACATAAAACACTTACAAAACTTAAGGCAAGATGGCGGAAAATACACAACATTGAATTGTATGGATTCGTCTATAGATTAATACATGCATGCATATGTTACTATAGACAAAAACAACTAAAATATTTAAGGAAAATATAATTATATTGATTGTCCATAAAAGCAATATGTTATAATATATAGTCTCTAGTAAAACTCAGTTTCGTTACAAACTCTTGGAAAGACATTAGGCATAAGAGCAAATGTTATAATATATAGTCTCTAGTAAAACTCATTTTGTTACGAACTCTTGTAAATGTTAGTCGATAGACATTGGATCCGTAAACATATCATGGGTGCTAATGTATTCGATATAAATAGTATTTTTCTTCTACTCGAACTATTGTTGTTCGAAAAACTAATGACAACATAATTGTCACATTAAATCTTCAATGGTCTCGATATGAAGTTCGTGACTTTGAGTCCACAAATAAGATTTTGCAACAACATCCGGTTGCAAGTTGCATTTATAAACCACAACGCATTCTGTCATCATTGTCGAGCCCGTCGTTAGTTGTTGCTTATGACTCATCCACAAGATAGGCCCGCTTGCTAACATAGAGATGCACCATGAAGTTGACTTTTTATTGCCTTAGCATTTAGCAATGTTAGTCACTTCTAATTTATCAGTTCTTTTATAAGTTAGTTCATACTCTTTTGTCCCTCGAAGATATCACAATACTTTTTTTAAAGTTTTCCGATGATCAAAATCAAGATTAGATTGATATTAGTCCAACATTCCAACAAAATAAGTGATATCATGATGAGTACAAACTTGAACATACATTATAAAAACATAAGGTATCAATTTCTTTTGTTCTTTTCCACCTATGTTTGTGGGCATAAAAAAGAACTAAAAAAACGTCTCTTTAACTACGGAAGCACCCGAAAGCATTGTTACATGTTATAACGTGCAAGAACACGTTCAATATAAACCTTTTTAGACAATCATAACGTCTCATTGGCCATATCTCGGTGTATTTCAAATCCAATCATGTAAGAGGCAACCCTGAGATCTTTCATGTCAAAATGACGCGAAAATAATCACTTTGAATCATGCAACAAATTCAGGCTGTTACTTGCCTTGCATCAATGATCCTATTAGTTAAGATGTTCCCGTACTCTTGTTGTCATATTCAGAGGGACCGCTCGAGGCCTCAAACAATCGGAAAAGATTATTGATAGCGTAGAGTTCGAGTCCAAAATCAGTTGGAAGTGAAAGTTTTTGTTCAAACGAGATGACAATAACACTCCTACATGGGAATCTTTGAACGGTTTACAAGAACAATCATCCTAACTTAGACCTTGAGGACAAAACAATAATCCTAACTTAGACCTCGAGGACAAGGTATGTTTCCGCGGGAGGGGGGGGCATGTTAGATCAAGCTTTAGTAATTGTGGGGACCCGTATGAACCGGGGGCGGTTTTGTTATGGTGTCCGCAGTGGCACGGGCAACGCCTCATATTTCCGTATGCAGTGCAAAAAATTTCGAATTTTTTTCTACTATCATGTCACTACTTCAATTTCCCGTGTCACCCTTACTATGAAATCTTGTGTCCGTCTCTGATATGAACATGTGACGCATGCATAAAAAATGAAGTAAGAATTGGTTAGGAGGAGCAAAAGAATGACCAAATGTCCCTTTAGATAAGAGAATAAAGAGGGGTTTAGGGTTTGTTAGGGATAAGGAAACATAAGATTACTCGTTAATATGATATTTTCTCCTTTCTCAAACTTATATTTTGTTTTAATGGAAGCTATATTTTATTCCTTATTTACCCTATTTAGTGAGATAATCCTTCCTCAGGGGTTGTTTGAACTTTGAAGTATTGATATCCTATTTAGAAAACTAACTGTGATCAATATAGCCTCTTTTCTTAAACTATCTGTGATCAATATAGCCTCTTTTCTTTGTGGCATTTTGTCTGTTGATTGGGGATCACTAGGCCAACTAAATTCAAGTCAAAGGTCTTAATGTCTTATACTAAATCAAACTTGATTTATCAGCTCAATATGCCTTCTTGATAAAAGCTTGAGTTTGATTCAAAAAATATTCTAAATTTGAATGATCGATAAATGAAATGGGTAAAATTACCTTTTTGCCCTTCAAGTCACTACCATAAAGTCAAATTTTCAATGAGTTAGAGGATATACCGGGAGCAAGTACGCAAGAGGATTGCAAAGAATGCAGAGTACTTCCCCAAAGAAAATGGATGAACAGTGAAATGACCTTTTTGCCTTTTAGAGCCACCATCTTTAGGTCAAATTTTCGAAAGAGTATTTCCCATTAAATTTAAATCTTTTTATATATACCGAATAAAACAGAATGATCACCAGCAATGTCTGGGATGATACAAACTCGAAATCAAATGGCAAATATGTATATATATAGTTTTCTATATGTAAATACTTTGACACATGAGACTTCATAAGATCTCAACCTTTGACTTTTTACTTCAGTTGACCGGTGTCTGGTTTTCTTTGAAAAGAAGCGATCCAAGAAGAATGGCAATGCTGGTTATGGCTATGGTGAACAAAAGCCGCCTGGTAGAGAAGTCTTGTGGCGGTGGTGGTGGCGGCCTTCTGGCGGCATGCTCTCTTTCAGCTTCCCGTATAGCCCTTCATAAAACATCATCTATGAGTGTTAGAACATGTGTAGATTCACATGACTGTTTTGTTGGATTCTGTGGGATTTGGCCGGAATTGGAGTTCAATTCCATTCCAAACACATTTGGTTGCAAATGAGTATGGAATGGAATTCACAAAACTCTTTGACCGAGGAATTTCAACATTCCTTCCAAAAACCCATGGAATTCAATTTTGCATCCATTTGCAACCAAAACAGGATTGGAATGGAATTGAATTCCAATTCCAGCCAAATCCAGGGTTACCAATGAATAGCTAGCAATTAATTAACACATAAGTTTAGAACTAATTTTTAATCTACTTACAAATTTGTCCAAAATAAATCATTCTTTCAAAACATTTTGTTTTCTTTCTCTTTCGTTCATCTGTAAGAACGATGGGATTTTTTTTTATTTTTTTTACTTGCAAACCAAAACTGGGTAAGATGGTTTGACAATTTAAAAATTACTCTTTCTACTTCCCATAAAAGCATCATCATTTAAATTAAAGAAAAAAAAATCCAACATATTATAAATTTGGAAGAAAAAAAAATGTAAACCTGGGAATTTCAGCTGTATTATTAGGAACACCATTGCATGTGACTTCATGAGCAATTCTCTCTCGGAGTCTAATATATCTGTTACACAGATGACATAGCTCTGTCCTATTTCCACAAACTTCCTGAAATTATAGCATTCTTGGTAATACTAATATAATCATAAGAATAAATTACATTTTAGGACCCTGAGTCTAGCTGATTTTGCAATTTTGGTTCCAAAAATATAGTCATTTTACTTGAAAAATGTTAGAAAAACTCAAAAAAGGAGCAAGATTTGCAAATGAAAAGTTTTGGGGACCAAAATTGAAAAATGTAATTTGATCTAATAATTAACAATAATAACCTGATGCTCAGATAGGTCGGTGGCAGGCAAAGGAAACTCGCAGTAATCACATGTCACAATTCTTTTTGGACATTTTTCACCTTTGTGAACTGCTAGGATTTCACGTTCCATCATCTCATTGCACAGCGAACAAGAAACCTGTCCCAAGGGCAGTTTGGTCATTTGATACATACATGGTGAATTCACAATTAGCAATCCATCAAAACAACCATCTTTAAGGCTCCATGTGTTACACATAGACATGACAAGACAAATGGTACTGTGTTTGACATGTACCAGACTCAGACTGATGTCAACAAGACAAAAAATATCAATTAACAAAAAATGTGGGACAGGGTGTCCTTCTGTTTGTGAAAAAGACATGAATACCCTCAGGGGAGCAAGTCCTTAATAGCAATACATACATACATATATATATATATATATATATATATATATATATATATATATATATATATATATATATATATTTATGTGCATAC